TTTTCTAACCAGTGACACAGCAGGTGTTGAGTTACTGGGATTGTCCCCCTTAAACCTGTAGAGTCCGGTTAGCATGTGAGGCCTGAAATCTAGTGAATCATCCCCTGCAATTCATTATGATGGCTTAGGAGTAGAGTTAATATATAAAGTCAAGTTCTGCAGTTGTGTCTAAGCACATATTATCAGATTACAGCCTGACTGATATTAGAAGTTTGAGGTAAGTACTCATATAAATCTAAATTTTAAATAGTATATAACAATATTCTATTTGATTTTTCAAAAAACTGTGAACTAGTTTAGCTTTTCGCCATTGCAAATTGTTGTTGGACATATACACTGATACCAAAATATCTGCAATAAGCCAATATCAGCTGATATATTGATGTGGTCTGGACCTTTGCTCGAGCACATACATGCAAAGGTGTGTAGATAAACATGGAGTGTGATAAGGTAGGTTTGGGCAATATATTGATATGATATTGATATTGACATAATGACATGAGACTGATGAGATGTTGTCTAAGATTTTGGATATTGTAATATCATCCATTACAGTAAAGTGTTGTAATTTTCTGAACTTACCAGACTGTTCTAGTTGTTTTATTATTTGCCTTTACCCACTTAGTCATTCTATCCACATTAGTGATGATTATTTATCAAAAATGTCATTATGTAAATATTTTGAGAAAGCACTAATAATTTACCCTACCATATTGTTGCCTTATCAATATCGAGGTATTGTTTAAAAATATTGTGATATTTTATTTTCTCCATATTGCCCAGCCAGGGCAGTTTGCCTCTGATCATAGAATAAGTGTATATGATGTAAATATTAATATATGGTGGTTTGATAGAAATAGTAACTATATGGTGTTTTATGTATCTTGCCATTTATGGAGATATTTGAAAAACAGGAATTGCTGATTTTCATGTACATAATATTTTATGCATAAATCTTTGAAAACAAATTTGAATTTGCAATTAAAATTACTTCAAGTAGAATTTAAAAGTAAGCTCCCCTATACACATTTTTCCACCAACATGGAAGGATTCTGCTCTGGTTTCTGCTTGTAATTTTGAACCATTACGAACAAATGCCCACAGGCAACTGATGCAATCTACCTTCTTGCTACTACTAAATACTTCCACTGTACATTGTGCAACGCCCTCTGCTGATGACGCATCCTTGATTACAATGGTTCCCCTTAAAACTGGTGGAAATGCAGGCCGGTTTGCTTAATAGCACCAAGGTTTCAAGAATGCTTTAGGGAACCAGTTCAAGAACCAGTACTAATTTGTTGGAAAGGGGGCACCAGTGGAAGCTTCTAAAAAGACACAGCAATGCTAACCATCCCAGTCTACAGCTTTATGACATTTCCATCTCCCTTCATATTTTTTTGTTTGGCTTGCTAGTCGCTATGATTGAGTCTCAGTGGATCTCACGGACACTGAAAGTTTGATATAACATTTCGGTCCAGTTCACTAAGAGCTGCCAGTTTTATTATTTTTATTCAGGCTATGTGGAAGTGTGGATTTCCTTTGACGTAGGTGCTTTGCTGACGGACTGAGAAGAATCAATGCCAGCTGAATTTCTACAAAGCCAAACTAGGGCAATGTGTTACCACCAGCCTAATACTGACCTCCATTTTATACCAGTACAAATATGACAGGGAGGCACGACAGTTCAATACTTGTTAATCTGACCTTTCTGCAATTACATATCTAAAGAGGAACCAGGTTTAAAACAGAAAAAAGGAAGCAAATATGTTAACGTCACTAATTTTGACATCAAGATCACCAGAGCTTCCTGTGTCTGAGATGAAACATTTTCCATTGTTTATTAGTGTACAGTGAGGCGGTGAGTGACAGCAGGGCAGTACGCTGATAATTTAGACTGTAGATATTTATTGAAGAACAGATCAATATGCTTACAGAAACATTTCAAGTTTTGTCAGTGTTGGTGTTTTTTGTCACTTGTGATTTGGAAGTATGTCTACAGAAGATAGCACTGTCTTCCTTTGTGGTAGTTTTGGTCACTCCATGGTGACATTTGACCTCTGAACAAATGCTGATGACAGCTCCCAGCTGAAACAAACGTTTTTGCCCACAGTTAATAAGAAGACTATTTATCTGTGAGTGCCAATGTTCTGTTTGCTTTGATCCTTGCCACAGCCGTGCACACCATATAGTGTTCATGATTTGGAGCTGTGCACGCTTCTATTATTCACGTCATGTGACCTCCACAATCATTGAAGATCTGTTTGCATAGTAACAGGGCTCCGCTGTTTAGTGCTCTTGATACACTTCCTTCACTCAGCGCAATAATCTGCTTCTCTGAGCTGAAGATGGGTTACAGAGAATAACTCCCATCTACTCTTTCCTCCCCATCTGTGTTTGTGAGCTAACATGTGCTGTAAAACACAGCTTCTGTCTCCCAGCACACACTCCCTCTTTGTTAAACCGTGTTCCAGATAACTGCATTCACATTTGCATGTAGATACACACATGCAGATACAGTATGATGCGAAAGGAAAACAAAGTATTTCCTAGATGTTACAGATGAATGAGGGTGTTTGTATGGATACATGTTTATTGCCACAGTAGATAGAAAGACATTGTAGTGATCATTCCCGGATGCTCTTCACAGATCTATAAGAACCAAAACAGTATTTCAGGTGGCCAACAGCTGTAAAAACTATTAAGTCAGAATAAACACCAATAATGTAGAGACTGCAGGAGCACACAGCATTGCCAAAATCATACAGTCATGGTCATCCAGTGAGATGACTGACTATGTCAGTTACAAGGCAGCCTTGTCTTCTCAGTCTTCCTACTGTAGCGAAGAATATCTAACAACATCATGTGAATCCATCTTCACACTCATAGACACTTTGAAATATGTTTACAGTAACAGCCAGTTGAGAGAGATAATGTCTAAGCTTTCTTATCATGTGTCACAGTTTGCAAATTGTTTCTCAGTACAGACTGCAGGTTTTCAACTCCTCATATTATTCATGTTGTAAATAAGCACAGGAGTTTTCTCAAGACGATGCCTAAGTCAACAGGGTGCAACATGATATGTGTTTGGTTGTACTGAAAGACTCTAAGGAGTTGGATATTTCACTTTTCTGGTAAGGCCACTTTGTTTTTTATGGGGTTTTTTGCTAGAGGAAATTAGCATTAGCGGATGTGCAGATTTCAGAGATAAAAACCAGGGGGATTTCCAGTTTGCTGGTCAATATCAGTATATCAGTAAAATACCAAATGTTATTATCTATGAAATAATAAAGGAGGGCATTTCTGCTTACATTTGACCACGCTAACTGTTGTACTGCAATAAACCAGGGTTCTTCAATGTTTTCAGGCCAAGGACCTTGTAGCTGAAAGACAGACGGAGCAGGGACCCCCTATCGTATAAAACTGAGTTGCATTTGGAATAATTCTCTGAATATTTTTGAGTTCTCCCTTCTTTGCACTTGCCTGTAGCTGTTTGGTCAGCAGCAGCTGTAGCATGGCTACTAGGTACGTTGGCAATACCTCTGCACTTTAGCTGGAGGTGTCTGAGGTGGACGGTGTATCAGACTGTCTTGCTTGAAAATACTTACAAAAATATTCCATTGTGGCTCACAAGAATGTCTGTACTCTTCACATCTAAATACAGCTAATTGGACATATTTGGGGGAAAAAAAGGTGCTACAAAGTAATTTAGCATTAGCTTGTTCAGATGATTGCACAAGGATTCATGGCGAACAGTTTGCCTATCATTAATGATATATATACATATATATATATATATATATATATATATATACTGTATGAAGTACTGTCTATATCTCTCTCTCTATATATATATGTGTGTGTGTGTGTGTGTGTGTGTGTGTATACATACATATAGTATTTCATATGATTTATCAATTTTGACTGCTTTTCTATATTTCACAATGACCTCAAGGAGTTACATGGACATACATGTATATTTAGAAAAAAAAAGAAAGAAAAAATAAGACATAAAAATATGTTGCCAAATCATTTGTAAATACAATAAAATACAAAAAAAAAGATAAATAATTAAAAATGTAAATAAGGCACACCATGTTAAATGTGTAATAGTTACTTAAAGATACCCCTTATTAAAACTTGGTCAGACAGTTTAAATCTGTGATACGGAGCCCCGAGAGTCCCGAAAGGTGATATTGTTTTTATCATGTGTGCACAAGTTATTATCTTGTGGGACAGACAATAGATTAACTTGTGTGCACAAAATAAAACATATTAACTTTTGGGACTGTAAGGGCTTCATCATCCTGCAGTATTCTTAGTGCTGAATGTTTTTATTTTATAATCACATAAATATCTCTTCTTTCATATATAACTACAACTTAATGTACACAGATTAGGTCTGTACACAGGGCTTAGCAAAAAGACTTTGATCTTTGGTTATTACACTGTTATCATAAACGTTCTCATGCCAGTCCTGTAAATCAACATCCTTGAGTCTAAGGTTAACCTGAACTTCATTCACGATTGTTATATGTTGTATTAATGATTATTTATATCTGAAGTAAGAAAGGTTTATATTTACTCCTATTAGTGTTTGTCACATATTTGACTAGCATAGTGCACCATGTAGAATTGAAAGATTATTTAATACATTAATTGTTCTTTTATTAACCTGTTTGTTTTTTTGTGGTGCTGTGCATCTTACCATCCCAGCTCAGGATGTGTGCTGAAAATTGTTTGTGGAACAAAAGCTTGAAAATGATAAATAGTATCGTGAGAAAAAAATCATGGAAGCTAGTTGTTTTACATAAAATCCCTTATTCTTATACTTAATGATCAGTACATGTTCACTACTAAGTGGTGCAACCCAATAAAATTCCACTGTTCTCCTAATAGTGTCAATACGTATGAAGTCACTCTGTGGCTGAGAGAACTAGGCCTGACTACTGCATATAACATTTCTCGTGTCTCGCTGTTTTTCCTCTCTTGTCTTCCTGCAGAAGGCACCATGGGCTGTGTGGGCTCAAAGAAGGAGCAGGAGCCTTTCAGCAAAGGGACGGGTAACGACGACCTGCAGAACCGTACACAGACCGCCCATTATGTCAAAGACCCCACAGCAGGAAACTTTGGAAACAAAGCTGTAAGCAGTAATGTTGTGACAGATCAAAATCTGAGAAAAGTATCTACTTGGTGTTCATCTCATGGCAAGATACAACATAACACATAAACAGAGCACGACGTTAGGGTAAAAAAAAAAAAACCCAGCATGGTCTGGCTCAAAATAATTATGTTCGTAACTAGCGTAATGTAATGCCATGTGACATATGTCACTAGCGTAGTGTGCTTCACATACAAGCACTAGCATCAGTATCTGACACTGACACTGAGGACGAGTTTGATGGAGTGAGACCAGGTTCCTTGTAGTTGCTGTAAAATATCAAACGTAAAAATACTTGTTATACTGAAAAATGGCCCCTGTGACAATGAGAGCTACCTTTTATACTGTTGGTCCTTTAAACCGGTGGTAAACAACCTTGTGGTCGGATCCCCTCCGAAAGGTCACAAGATAAATCTGAGAGATGATTAATGGGGTAGGAAAGAAGAAAGAAATAAAGTTCTGTTAGTGTGGACTCTCTTTTTTTTTCATTTTGGGGGGAATTTTGAATAATTTGACCTTTATCGATCTCAAATGTGACCCAAGGGCCTCAGCTACATGCTGCTTTTTTGGGGAGGTCACAAGCCAAAACGGTTGATCCAAAATGCACCAAGTTACAAGAGAAGAGAAGGACAAGTATAAAATAGCATCAAATGGAAACATTATACTTAGGTACAGTACTTGAGTACATGTATTTAGTTACTTCCCCCATTGAACATGAATTTAGGTCTTTAGCCACATTATATGTGACCAAAAAGTGTTGATGAACATTTTGCTTATAAAAATGAGAAGCCACACCTGCGGAAGTGCCTCTGCTATAAATAAAGAATGAGGAAGGTTAATGGTGTCAGTTGCAGAAGCAGTGAAAGTATGAGATGAAATATGAAAAGAAAACACCACACTTTCACAGGTTACTCCCACAAGTGACAAGAGACTGTGTTCTTTTCAGAGAAGATAGATGTAGTCCGAACATGTTCCCAGGCTTGTTTGCATACTGGCCAGACTTTGATCCATGCCATTGGTAAAACAGCAGTGGTGTTGCATGTAAGCGTGGTTCCTCTGGCCACTGCTTCCTGTGTGCTGTCTGTAACATCTCGTTCTCCCTCAATGAAGAAAGAGGAAGTGACAGAAGCAGAACCAGAGCACTGAGGCAGGAGACGTATGATCAAAATTTGAGCATTAAGCAACACCTAAGACTTCCCTCGCCTCACACATACTGTATTGTATTATCTCAGATGTCTAAATTTACAGACAGTCTGTCTGGCTGTCTGGTCTCCACTCGGCTCAGCTCATATTTGTGCTAACATTGCACTGTGTTGAAAACAAAAGAAAAACCTAAAGCAAATATTACTGCCAGCAACATCTTGATTTTTAAAGCTGATAAGATAAAGTGCTTCCTTCCTCTCTTCCTTTCAAACATTTTTTTTTCTGTGCAATGGTTTTATGCTATAGTTTGGTCTATACTTGAGATGTAATCTTTAAAAATTTAAATATAATATTGCTGCATCTTTATTTAAATTTTTGCTAAGCAACCACTGAAACACATGTCGTTAGCTTAACTGCTATGTTGTTGTGAAGTAAACTCACAGATCTGTACCTTAAAATAAAAAAATAAATATTAAAAAAATAGAACAATGGACAGGTTGCAGGTGAGAGGCTGTTCATAGACAGTACGTAGGACACAGGAAAATGGAGATCAGTGTGGATGTATGAGACCCTCAGAAAGAGGAGAAATCACGGAGAACAACCAGTTGGTCCAGAGCTGCGCGAGGAGGATGATCACTTTAAGGCTTATTTTAGGATGAGTCAGGGACAGTTAGACGTTAGAGAGAAGTTGCAGCTACAGTTTGTTTAGATATGTCCCGCAGCTTGCCAAGGGCGACGATGCAATTCAGCTAGCATTAGCTTCACACAAACCATGTATGCTACTAACTGTTACTTGCTGTCATTGCTACCACAAAAGACCTGCCTCTCAACTCATCAGATTGGACAATGGCCAATGAAGTCAGGTGCTTTTTCTGCTCTGAGATGAAGTTTCTTTAACATGAAGCATTCATGTACTTGCACAAAAACATGAGGTGCATAGAGCGGAAAAACGTGAGGCACTTCCGCAATGCTAAGGCAGCAAGTGAAACCCTTCACTTTTATTCAAACCCATTCCAAAAAGATGCCTATGGCTGCTTAAATGCACTCTGTCTGATCAGGGCCTTACAAGCTTTTCAGCATCTCTTAGCTCATTATTTTGTTTTTGTGGCCTGTAACTTTAATGTTTTGGTTGACTCACACCTGTCATCAGTGTCATTACCAACAGCAGGAGTCACACGTCTTAAGTGAGAACGCTCTAAAAATCCACTGTACGTTAGACACACCAAGTTAACCACTAACTAATGTAGAAAGTCCGTTTGCAAACACATTTGCCATGACAACTTAGTATGGTGATAGTATTGCACTGCCCCTAAATGGCAAAAACAAAAACAAAACAAAAAAATACTGCAGCTTCAAGAAAGTTTTCTTCTCACTTTGAATCAACAAAAAGGGGAGAATTAATATTTGACAAACTTGAACTCTTCCTTAAGCCTTCACATCAACATAAGTCTCTCTTTCTCTCAACAGAGCAAAATGCCATCCAATGCTAACGCTTCAGACGGTGAGTCACAATTCCTATTTACATACTGCTGTAGCCCCACTTACGCAATTGCAACCTTGCTCTTGATGCTAAATCTTTTTTTTAAGCCAACCACTAATGAACCAATAAGGTCAGTCAATGACAGTTTTATTTCTAACCTCTAACATCTAGTTCAGGGCTGGTTTGGTGCAAAGAAAAAGTAACTGATGAAGCTCAAAACAACATGTGAGAGAGAGGAAGGAGAGTGAGTGTGTTGGCGCAGAGCGATAGCCCCTCTCACCGCCTCACCACACAGGCCTCCAATACACTGAAGAACAGCCTGACAGCTATTATTATCAAGTGTACACGGAAGTCAGTTACATAGTCAAAGTACGAAAGTACGGGGAGTCCAGTGTTAGTAACAAAGATAGCTGTGGTTCAGGCTTAAATGCAGTGTGTCCAGTGAAAAAACAACATGCACAGATACTGCACTCCCCTCACTTTCACATACACACTACAGCGTCAGCTGCATGTCAGCGATGCTGGGTGAAAACCTCATGAAAAACTTCCTTAAAAATGACAACTTTTCACAAGAAAACCAGGCTTGGTTTCAGCTCCAGTCATCTTTATATTCCTTGAGTGTTTTTTTGTTTTGTTTTACAAGCCCAAAGATGTTTTCTCTGGCCATAATTTAAATTCTTCAGAGAGTAAACATGCGTGCAGCTTCCACATGACAACGCAAAAGGGACATATTTTACACTGCATTGCAAGACCACAATGTACCAAAATGAAACCATCTGCTTTTCTTCTTTTCCTGGCCCTGCTGCTGTAGGAGAGAGTATTGCCATGGCTCTGTACGACTATGAGGCCATTCATGATGGTGACCTTGGCTTCAAGAAGGGAGATAAGCTCAGAATCTTAGAGGAGTAAGTATCAACAGTGAGAAAGCTCATTTATTCTTTCTTGCTGCATTTAGAAGAATAACTATATAAAATAATCATAATAAGTTAATTGTGTTCAAATGATTTTGGACTTGTAAAGTACACTGTCATGTCTTTGTTGATGAGAAGTTTTCACACTGTCTTTCTCTCTGTAGATCAGGGGAGTGGTGGAGAGCAATGTTACTCAGTACGGGTCAGGAAGGCTTCATCCCCAGTAATTATGTGGCCAAAGATACTCTGGAGGCAGAGGAGTAAGTGTACTCAAACTGACAACACATTTATCAGCCTTATCAGTATCTCACTGGTAAAACTGTTTGGTTTTTTTTGTCAATATTACTATGATTTTTTTCATCCTTATTCTTTATTATTATTTTCAGTAGAAGTAGTGATGATAATGTAATGATGAAAATATAATTAGCCTTCCAAATAAATGTGCTAGTGTCGTGGGCCTATTTAAATGGCAGTTTTTGCTGTTTTTCACAAAGTGGAAATGAACAAGGAAACAAAGCACACACAGGAATGGAAAATGAAGGCTTGCACAGGAAGAGCCGTTAGGAGGTTTCTGTGCTAACTGATCTGTTTCCTGTTGTTAAGGTGGTTCTTTAAGGGCGTTAGCAGGAAAGATGCTGAGAGGCAGTTGTTGGCCCCTGGGAACAGAGTGGGATCCTTCATGATCCGAGACAGCGAGACCACACAGGGTGAGTAAAAGACATTCTAAAACAGATTATTTGTCCCTTAATGCAGTGGTTTCCAACTGGTGGGTCATGTTCCAAAAGTGGGTTGTGGGTCCGTTCTGAATGGACCGCAAATGACCTGCACATGTGTCAAGTTTGTGAAAAACACATTTTATTTTTAAGTACAGTGAATTTCCGGTCCAGAGCTTTCATTTTGAAGTGCCGCCGTTGCTGTAGAGTAAGTGACAAACGGACAACTACTTAATAGAGACAGCAAATTAGCTCGATGACATGGCCAAATACAAGTATGATGCTGAATATATTAAAATGTGTGGACCTTGAACTAAAGACCAAGGAGAAATGTAGCTGGCTGGACCAGTTGGAAACCACTGCCTTAATGGAGCAGTCAAAGTAATCATGAGACATTATTAACAGAAAAGATCCCAACTAACACATCAAGCAATTTGATTTTAACAGACTTCATTTCATGTAATTTATTTTATTTATAAGAACAACACATTCATCAACATCTTTGTAAATGTGCCAGTGTTGGCCTACTGGCTAATTTTCAACTGCAGTCCTTTGACATGATGTTTTAAAACAGATAAAGTGATAAATTTCTTTTGGAGGGAGACTTTTAAGTCTGAAAACATAATGATGATTATGTCATCGGGGTTATACTAGTTTTGGACTTGCAACTTCATTTTCTAACGAAAAGCTCGCATTATGGATTAGAGGTGTGAAGTTCAAAATAAGTGAACATTTAGAAGGAATAAAAGATACTACTGAATTTCATCATGGAAAATGTAGGATCCAGTGTTTTTAGAATTTGACGCACAAGAGAGACAAAAAGTCAGGTTATCATGGCCTCTGTTACTTCAATTTTGATCACTCTCTTTATGCCTCCACACCGGCAATAGCCACCAATATCCATCAATAGCCACCAAAAACATAAGGAATTACGTCTTGGGGTTTTACGCTCCTCCATACATACATCTGTATGTATGTACAGACTTACGTATGGACATCCCGTTCTCAATAATGCGATATCTCAAAAACGCCTTGAAGAAAGTTTTTCAAAGTTGGCACAAACATCCACTTGGACTCAGCAATAAACTGATTAGATTTGGGTGGTCAGAGGACAAAGGTCAAGGTCACTATGACCTTGTGTCTGTCTCATTTTTATGAATGCAACATCTCAAGAAGGCTTTAAGGGAATTTCCTCAAATTTGGCACAAACATCCACTTGTATGTAAGGATGAACTGAGTAGAATTTGGTGCTCAAAGGTCAAAAGGTCACTGCTTTTGGCCATAACTCAAGAATTTATAGTATATAATATAATATATATAAAATTTTACACAGCTGTCACAAAAAGGGTGATGACATTTTATAATTAAAAAGTCAAAGCTCAATCTCACTGTGACATCATAATGTTCTGCAAAAACACTTTTCTGGCCAATGGCTAACCAATGACATCATTGGCCTTATGAAGGCCTCCTCAGAGGTTAAATACCTGGGTTTTTCCACACCAGTTTGTGTGACTAGTTCCAGCCTAGTCAGACAAGCATGAACTGATGAAGCCTCTTGGATAAGAGGTGAAACGTCTTCTAAGACAAAACTAAGTCCGGTTGCGTTCGATTCGATTGCCTTGAGATGACTTTTCTGGCCATTACTCAACACCATAACTCAGGAACAGAAGGGGAGACATTTGGTCAGATACTGAATTGGCAATTGTATAGATCTTCTGTGCTGCCTGGTTGAAGATGAGTGTGAGGCGTCCACATTTCGGAATATGCCACTTCTTTGCAGCAGCACGTGAAGCATTAATAACTCTTATGGCTACTTATGACTTTGGACAGACATTGATGTAAAGTGTAACTGCAACCTGACTGGTTCTTGAAGGCATACAACTGCATGGAAGAGCAATACTAAATCACTTTAGTCTCTCTTTAAGTGTCCCATGTTGGTCTGCAGTCAGTCCCTCTAAAAATTAAACATCTCTGGAATACAAACACAAATACACAATACATACAAAAATAGAACTTAACATGTTGAATCATCTAAAAATATAAGCTTGTATCAGTGGAAAAAAATACTGGCATCAGCATTTAAAAAATCCCCTATGGGTCACATGGTAACTACTGTTTTCTTTCTGTTTCACCACAGGCAGCTACTCCCTGTCTGTCAGAGACAGTGATGGTCAAAACGGTGACACAGTTAAACATTATAAGATCCGTACACTGGACAATGGAGGATTCTACATCTCTCCCCGCAACACCTTCGGCACGCTGCAGGAGCTGGTCACCCATTACAAGAGTGAGTTCACTACTGTCAGAATTTAGACAGTTTGTCACTGAGTGATTTTTACCTCCTCACAGTTTTGTTTTAATAGTCTAGTTGAGTAATTGCCTGTCATTAAAATGATGATGTAAGAAGCGAATGAGGAATCCTTAGTAATCCTAAGGGGTGAGTTTTTTTCAAAATGTTTCTCATTTAATGGTCTCAGACAGGAGCAACTCCACTTCAGTCTGTGTCCTATTTAAAGTGGCGCCTACAGTGATGTACAGCACGCTCTACTGGCCGACTTTAAAACTGTTGATGTGAAACATTATCAGAGTCATTACCAAAGTGATAGATTGTATTGCTTTAATTCAATTAGTAGAAGCATCAGCATGGGAATGTTTTTATTTTTGCCGAACTTACTGGAATGTTTGAATGCTTTGTGAAACTGTCAATTTAATAAAATACATCAGTTCAATAAGAAAAACATAGTACTGATTTTCATGGTTTAATTTTGCATAAAATGAAAAAAACTATACTCTGACCATTAGACATAAATATATAACAAATTTAAATCTTGAATTTTCTGTTTATTCCAGAGCAAGGAGATGGCCTCTGCCAAACCCTGACCAACCCGTGCTTGAGCCCCAAACCTGAGAAACCATGGGAGAAAGACGCCTGGGAAATCCCAAGATCATCCCTCAAACTGGAAAAGAGGCTTGGTGCAGGGCAGTTTGGAGAAGTCTGGATGGGTAAGATAGACCTGAATCATTATACAGTCCAGTTATTGATGGAGATGGGAAAATAGCAATTCATTTTCTAATTGTGATAATTGTTTTTCTTTAAGCTACATACAATAAACACACCAAAGTAGCAGTGAAGACCATGAAGCCTGGCAGTATGTCAGTTGAAGCCTTCATGGCCGAGGCCAACCTGATGAAGACTCTACAGCATGACAAACTGGTTCGACTCAATGCTGTGGTCACTAAGGAGGAGCCTATCTATATCATTACTGAGTTCATGGAGAAAGGTGCGTATGAGTGTGTGTGTAAATGCAGTCGCCAGAAGTAAAATGCTAACACTAGGCTATAAACAAACAACACCACAGTTGCATGACTTCAACATCACCACAACGAGGTGTGATAACAATCTGTGGTCTTTTTTAGCCACTAGCTAGCAGCTGCCTTTTTAAAAACAAATAAAGGCTTCAAAATTTACAGGTGGGGTATTTACTGAAACATATTATGTCATAAAACAAAATGTGAAATTTCATTTCATTCAAAACTCCACTGAGGTGAGGGAACCTGGACACACACTTCTGATCTATCAGAGCATAAATGAGGCAACAGTGGACAGGCAGGTAAAAGTAACCAATCTCAGTCTCATCACTGGCAGTATGTGAAACACCTGTGCACAACCCTGGTGGTAGAAGCTTTACTTCCTGGAAGTTGTCATTTGTAAGTACTGAATGGCATACTGTGAGGCATACAAATGGAAGCCACTGTCTTGTCATACAATACCAAAATACAAAAAAGGGAGTGGAACACAGTGAAAACAGTAAAAACATATAAAATCACAAAGCACCTTATAACAGTATCAAACAATTATATCACACAGTAAATGGGGCTTTGGGAGGAATCAGGCTAAAGCCATCATTAATCAGAGATCCCCAAATCTATAAAACACACATCTCAATACAGAAGTAGAGCAATCTGGATTACAGCATAACACTCATGTCAAAATCCTTATTGAGGCCTGTAGGGTGAAGTGCATCTAAAGTGTCAGTCCAGACAGCCTATAAACATCTACATGATATTACATCAAGGCCCAGTTTAACATAATGGGAAACTCAGGCAAATCACAGATCAGTTATTTCCAACCAGGGGTAGAAATACCCTGGAGGGTACTTTTGTAGTTGCCAGAAGGTATGTTGAAAGACTCTGGAGTAGCTCAACTAATTGACTGAAATGACTGAAATCACTTTTTTTTTTCTTTTTTTTTCTGGATCCACAAGTCAGTGCATTAAAAGTCAGTGGGAAGCAGTCTGTCTAAACAGTTAGCTAAAATTTATGGCTGAAGGGTTGAAATAGTAAATAATAAATACTTAGCTAAAAGAAATTGCAAAAAGGTTAAAATAGATAAATGCTATGAATAAACATTTTTTAAGGAGAAGATAAACTTAATTAATTCCCAAGGGAATTCCACTCTGTTGTCATACACACACAGGCCCGAAATACACACACATGCACGAACAGGACCTACACATGCATTGAATGGAGAGATGTCAGAGCAAGGGGGCTGCCTTTGACAGGCGCCCTGAGCAGTTGGGGGATCAGTGCGTTGCTCAAGGGCACCTCGGCAGTGCCCAGGAAGCGAACTAGCACCTCTCTGGCTACCAGTCCACACTCCATACTTGGTCCAGATGGCGACTTGAACTGGTGACCCTGTGGCTCCCAAGCCAAGTCGTCCCTATGGGCTGAGCTACTGCTGCCCTAGAAGAGGAGTAGGCAGAGTAGTCAGTGTAGACATTTGCAAAGAACACGTACAATAGTTAAAGCTCCTTTATGTTAGCAGTGGACATTAACTTTATTTAACCTTAAAAAAATAAAGGTTAAACCTTTGTCAATATGTTTGTAAAGCATATAGTTGTTTGTTTGTATTTGCATTTCCAGTTCGCAGATATTTTGCCTATGTTGAAGATGTGTCTAGATGTAGACACATGTGGCATATGTTTATTCATGTGTGTGTGTGTGTGCCTACAGGCAGTTTATTAGACTTCTTAAAGAGTGACGAGGGCAACCGTGTTCAGCTCCCCAAGCTCATCGACTTCTCTGCCCAGGTCAGTCTCAATCACTCACATGACAGCTTGCCAGACCAGTTCCTCTGTTTGTTTGGTTGTTTCATATCAGTGCATCCTTTGTTTGTCTGCAATACGCAGGACGCAGTTGGCATAAGAATGTTTGCATAATTTGTTGAGGTCAGTAGTCTATTGCTCTGATCATAGGGATTGGGTTGAAAGTGAATTATATTATTCAGTATCTGGGACATTTAAAAACAAGATTTGTGTAATCCTGCAACATAGTATACAGTTTTTTAACAATGGGCAATTGGTGAGACAATAATTTTATTCTTGCATACCTGACAGTCTACACAAGTAAGTAAAGCAGAGTTGAATTCTTTGTTTGTATGATGCCTCAGAGGGTAATAAACAGTAGTGATTGCAAGGAAAAAACTGACACTTCATCCAGGGTGAATAACGCTGAAACATAGGTCCATCACTAAGAAAGAAAATACAGTGTCATTTGTGTGAAGCACATTAATCTACACCCAGCCAATATAACTCAGCTGCGGAGCTGTAGTGCCTATGCTTTCAGACCTGCAGTTCCAGTCTGACCTGTACTTCCTCTTAGAGAGTAACACACCCATGTGTACCTACTGTTTGTTTATGTTTCACACCTGGACACTGTAACAGTCCTGGTGAGAGAATTTTAAACCCTTGAAAAGTAAGAGTTAAAACACCTCAGAGTGTGTTCTCCAATAACTGTTCTCATGTTGGAGAGGGAAGGAGGGGGTCCTAACCACATTTTATTTATTCAAAGTAAGATAAAACCCAGGATGCAAAGGCTCAAATAAAAAGAAGGTTAGAGCTGCCTGTTTTGATTGAATTCCACCATGACTGGTTTTGTCATGTTGAATTATGCATCAGATAGTCAGATTGGTTTTATCTATGGCTAACACAAAGGAGCTGTACATCCTCACACGCTAAATGCCTCTTGCTGTTATTATTAGCAATACTGAAAGAAAAAAGCAGCTTATACAAAGTCTATGATATGTACAGTATGTCTGAGAGCATGGAAGTGTGTGGACATATCCTGTTCCAGGCTGATTTGTTCAATTTGATTGCCAGAGACAGTTACCACTGGGAACTATGTTTTGATTCTTTTAAACTGACTTATTCATCTGTAGACCGCAGAGGGCATGGCCTACATTGAGCAGAGGAACTACATCCACAGAGACCTGAGAGCTGCCAACATCCTGGTCAACAAGGCTTTAGTGTGCAAAATTGCTGACTTCGGCCTGGCTCGTATCATTGAAGACAACGAGTACACGGCCAGGGAAGGTATGACACAATATTCACTGTCATGTGTTGTGTAGCTACGTTTGGTCAGCAGAAGTGATTAAGAAAGTGGGGAACTGATTCCCCAGAACTGATGAAATGGGAGCAGTCACGGTTTCATCAGTTCAGGGGAAATTACTTTCTGTCAGCGAGATGTCGGATTACAACATTAGTGACAAAAATAGTAGGGAGCCAAGATGAGAGTGACTTGCTGTGTGGCTTACGGAAGAAGCAGAGGATGTTAGAGTTTGACAGGATGTGTGACCAGCATGAAACTTCTCAGCAATGTCATTAGGAGCAAGCTAATGTGCGGTATCAATATAAGACCTGTTTGCAATTTCCCTCTTAATCAGGAGCCAAATTCCCCATCAAATGGACAGCCCCTGAGGCCATCAACTACGGCTCTTTCACCATCAAATCTGATGTCTGGTCCTTTGGCATCTTGCTGACTGAGATTATCAGCTATGGACGCACACCATACCCAGGTAAGTGGATCACTGATTTCACCTTTGATGTAGTATTTGCCAGAACGCCTCAAAGAGCAGGGCACTTGCAGTTAGTTCACAAAGTTTTTGTCCTATTTCCACCGTGGATTTATTATTAGATCTGGATACCTGACACCAAAAATCAGGCCAACCATAATTTCTTGCCTGGTACATATGCCAAAAAAAATTCTAGCTTCTGCGTTTACTTTGGGGTATGCGGACCACCGAATATGCGCAGTAGCAAGTTCCCAATCAGCCCAAAGATTTTCCATGTGGAAATATACTATATGACATATATCTCCCTATATCAAGACTTATTTTTCCATATATGTTACCAATATATTATTATCATATACATGCATTCTCTGGATATATGAAAATATAAGTATAACATATAGGGAAACCCCATAGTAAAATGTGTATATGTACATGTATTTAAAACATCTATATGACCAATTTTTATATGGTATTAAATATTGCTACCATATATGTTGATGATATATATTTAATTTATATATTTTTATCGAAACAACAAATATACAAAAATTCTGTATGCTCATATGTTTTCTTATTCATTTTTGAGATACATCTATCTTTTATATTTACATATGTAATATCAACATATATTGATGTGCTTTCAGATGGATATATATGTGCATAGAATATGCGCTTACAATTTAAGTATATATGATATATGTACATAAATTAAAAATATCTATATGATGCATTTTTTATGATATTATATGTCACTACTATATATGTTAACAATAGATGTTTAATTTATGAAAACAACATATAAAAAAGTCTGTACGCATATATATGTTTTCTTATACTTTTTGACATACATGTGTATATATAATATTAATGTGGTCCAAACTCACGCAGTAAACACGTAGTACAGCTGAAGCTGATGGGGATGTCAGTGGATCACCTACAGTCAGGTCCATAATTATTTGGACAATGATACAGTTGTCGTCATTTTGGCTCTGTACACCACCACTATGGGTTTTAAATGAAACAATGAATACGTGCTTAAAGTGCAGACTCTCAGCTTTCATTTAAGGCTTTTTTCAAAAATGTAGTATGAACCGTGTAGGAATTACAACCATTTCTTCACACAGTCCCCCAACTTTAAGGGCTCATAAGTATTTGGACAAATTAACATAATCATCAATTAAACAGTCAGTTTTAATACTTGGTTGCAAATCCTTTACAGTCAATGACTGCCTGAAGTGTTGGACACATAGGCATCACCAGATGCTGGGTTTCTTCTGTTAAAGATCTTTAAGTCTTCCCTGGTGAAGCTCTGCCAGCCCTTTACTGCAGCCGTCTGCACTTCCTGCTTGTGTTTTGGGTGTTTTGCCCTCAGTTTTGGCTTCAGCAAGAGAAACGCATGCTCATTTGGATTCAGGTCAGATGATATGACTTGACCATTACAGAACATTCCTTTTCTTTGTCTTAAAAATGTCTTTGGTGGCTTTTGCAGTATGCTTCAGGTCAATGTCCATCTGCACTGTGAAGCATCGTCCAATGAGTTTTGAAGCATTTGGTTGAATCTGAGCCGATAATGTAGCCCCAAACACTTCAGCTTTCATCCTGCTGCTCATGTCAGCAGTCACATCATCAATAAATACAAGAGAACCAGTTCCACTGGCAGCCATACATGGCCATGACATAACAGTACCTCCACCATGCTTCACTGATGAGGTGGTGTGCTTTGGATCATGAGCAGTTCCTTCCCTTCTTCCTTCTCTTCTCTTCCCATCATTCTGGTAGTTGATCTTTGTTTTATCTGTCCATAGTATGTTGTTCCACAACTGTACAGGCTTTTAGATGGTTTTTGACAAACTCTAATCTGGCCTTCCATTTTTAAGGCTAACCAATGGTTTGCATCTTGTGATAAACCCTCTGTATTTATTCTAGTGAAGTCTTCTCTTGCTGACAAGAGCAGCAGGATGAAAGCTGAAGTGTTTGGGGCTACATTATCTGCTCAGATTCAACCAAATGCTTCAAAGCTCATTAGACGATGCTTCACAGTGCAGATGGACATTGACCTGAAGCATATTGCAAAAGCAACCAAAGACATTTTTAAGACAAAGAAAAGGAATGTTCTGTGATGGTCAAGTCATATCATCTGATCTGAATCCAACTGAGCATGCGTTTCTCTTGCTGAAGCCAAAACTGAGGGCAAAACACCCAAAACACAAGCAGGAAGTGCAGACGGCTGCAGTAAAGGGCTGGCAGAGCATCACCAGGGAAGAAGCCCAGCATCTGGTGATGCCTATGTGTCCAACACTTCAGGCAGTCATTGACTGCAAAGGATTTGCAACCAAGTATTAAAACTGACTGTTTAATTGATGATTATGTTAATTTGTCCAAATACTTATGAGCCCTTAAAGTCGGGGGACTGTGTGAAGAAATGGTTGTAATTCCTACACGGTTCATACTACATTTTTGAAAAAAGCCTTAAATGAAAGCTGAGAGTCTGCACTTTAAGCAGGTATTCATTGTTTCATTTAAAACCCATAGTGGTGGTGTACAGAGCCAAAATGACGACAACTGTATCATTGTCCAAATAATTATGGACCTGACTGTATCACCTAACTTATCTCAAGGGTGACATGAACCAAATTGCATGGCAGGGCATCCAATAGTTGTTTAAATATTTTAACTGAAAACCACAAATGTCAATTATATTGTAGCACTAGAGGTAAAGTCGACCGATCACTAAAGTCAGAGGGATTCATCCTCAGGGGACTATGACTATCAGCACACAGTTTCATGGCAATCCATCCAATAGTTGTAAAGATATTACAGTAACTGACCAGCTGACCAACATTGTCATCCACTGAGCCACGAAACTAGCGTTCCAGCTGGAGTAATCAAATGTCAGCCCCTGAGCTATTTTTTTATTTTTTTTTATGTGGCTGTGGCTCTGCAACCTCTCTTAACCCAATCACATGCTCTTGTTTTCAGGGATGACCAACCCAGAAGTGATCCGTTCACTGGAGAAGGGCTACCGAATGCAGCGCCTGGACAGTTGTCCCACCGAACTATATGAAATCATGCTGGAGTGCTGGAAGAACAAGCCTGAGGACCGCCCCACCTTCGATTACCTGCAGAGTGTCCTGGAGGATTTCTACACAGCCACAGAGAGCCAGTATCAGCAGCAGCCATGAGACTTGACATCCACAAACATGTTTTCTCTAATAGTACTGTTCCATTCATACTTTCCAGCAAGTCCAGTTTCTACATGCAGCAGTGCAATTCAGAGCGCTCACACACACATTCTCACTTTACAGTTATCTTTCCGTCTGTCTTTGTCTTTCTCATTCACACATTGTAAATTTAAGAAGGGACTGTACAAAAATTACTAGGGAGCGAAGTTTGAAACTTTATTAAATATATTCTTTAGGAAGCTAGGCATCACTGTTTCTAACATTTTAAATAAATTACTTGGAAATTTGAATGAGAACATTTTTAAAGTAATACAACCACCACTGACAAACTATATACAGTTATTATTATTAGACTATTATTATTACTATTACAATATTAGGACAACACAATCCTACCTCATACTTGGGTCAGGGGCACAGCGCAACAGACGCTGTCTGATGATATTCTGAGAGCTTAGTTAGTTGTAGGCTTACATGACCAAAGCCACATCAGCTGTCCTGAATATGTATCTCCACAAAATCAGCCATAAATTATCTGGATGCACACCAGCAGACATGCACGGACATCAATCAATCAATTAATCAATTTTATTTATAAAGCCCAATATCACAAATCACAATTTGCCTCACAGGGCTTTACAGCATACGACATCCCTCTGTCCTTATGACCCTCACAGCGGATAAGGAAAAACTCCCCAAAAAAAACGCTTTAACAGGGGAAAAAAAAACCGGTAGAAACCTCAGGAAGAGCAACTGCGGAGGGATCCCTCTTCCAGGACGGACAGACGTGCAATAGATGTCGTACAGAACAGATCAGCATAATAAATTAACAGTAATCCGCATGACACAATGAGACAGAGAGAGAGAGAGAGAGAGAGAGAGAGAGAGAGAGAGACAGAGAGAGAGAGAGACAGAGAGAGAGATGCAGGTAATGACAGTAGCTTACAACAACATTATTTAAAGTAATAATATTATAGTTATAGTTCTGGCTACTGTGGTACAATATGTTGAAAGTATGTATTAATATCTGGCAGTATACATGACACAAACACGTGACTTTATATTTGATACATATATCTTTAAAGAGATACTTGTACATAATGGGTCAGTTTCATTACTCAGATTTGCAGGTGAGGGGAAGGTTGCAAAACTGGACCCATGCAGGACTTTACATAAAAAGCTGAACATAGCAAGTGTGTTGGATAAGCCCTGCTGGTGCACAGGCAAGGACAGAAAGACTGGGTACTTCTTTTAAATTTGCAAGGTAAGGCTTGAATGAATAAAATCTGAGAAAAGAAACAGACCCTATACTGGGCTGTAAAAAATTCTGACTACTTTTTCCTAAACAAAAAGAAAAGATAAATAGCCGTCCTACTTTTCTGCCCTCAATACTCCTATAATGTTTGTACAGTCCCTAACATTTGAACAGCTTCAAAGTTTTCTTTTTTATAATAACATGTACTGTACAGCCTGCAAGTAGGAGGCCGTATAGGGTTACAAATGTTTTTGTACAGTACAGTAAAGTACAAAGATACATACTCACAAACAAACGAGGCCACCTGAAAGCAGTCATATGGAACATACTAGATTTAGTTGGTATGCTCCAGCACACATTGTGCATCCATCAAAGAAAGGTATAACCACAACACAGATGTTAAGAGGGAAATATGTGCAGTGTTCAGCTCTGATGATAGCCTACCATGTTGATGTCAGTGATTCAGCAAGCAACGCTGTCGGTGTCCACTGCCTTCCTGTTAAAATTGTTTGGCATTGTGAAAGGAGACTGTGGATTTTACAAAATTCAAGATATACTGTACAGCTGATATATGCTTAAATCTAATATTTATATTCTATAGATATTTTCCCAGTATGCTGTGGCTTGTTTTAGCATTACTCCTTCATTGTGCCTTTTTAAGTGTTTTTTTTCTGTCAGTCGTAACATTTATAATATATTCCATACCCTCTGTACATATAAACAGGTGTACACAAATAAATACAATTATTTAGGAATATGGTCTTTAATGTAAAGACATATTAGCTGATAATGCTTGTTTATCCTTTGGACCCACTGAACGTTTGTTCTGTATTTGGGAACTAGATGAAAAAGCAGTGCATACAGATGTTCACATCTTTTGTCTTTCGTTCTCAGCCTTCTCTTTTGTTACTGTGTGAAAAAAAACGAAATAATTTATTTGTGCAAATATCACTGCTCTGAACATTACTGTATCAATGATCTTTCTAAACCTGAATGCCTTGTCTATCATTTTTTAGTGAAAGACTCATTACTCTGCTGTTTTTCAACTCTGTTTTAGATAATGTGATTCTTGTATTGTTGACAATAGCAATATTTTTTCTGGACTAAAATCTGAAATCTTCAAAGGGAATATTTTCAGGTAAGAGTTTGTCATTTGTTGTGTTTGTTATTCATTTAGAGACAACTGTGATAAAGAATATCTGGGGGAAGTTTTCTAAAGAAAATTTGTATAGAGAGATGATATGTGATTATACTGAATCAATACCTAGCACTGTATATGTAGCCTATGCATAGGGTTACAAATGTTTTTGTGTTTTTCTTTATCCATATAAAGCTCTGCATATTTTGTTGGATGCTTAGTTCAATGCAACTGTAGTGAAATTTTTCAAATAAATTGGTTTAGAAATAACTATCTGCCCAAATGTTCAGTTATATAACAGCAAGCAAAATTTCATATATTGTTTACACACTTACATACACAGTTAATGTGCTTGTTTTGTGTGTATTGTATTAATAAAGGACGAAAATATTTGAAATAGGCTATGATAGCTAACAAAAATGTTTTTCACATTATTTCAAATGAAGATGAAAAAATACATTAAACTTCTATCAAGTAAAACTGCTTTTTGGGTGTGTCAAATAAAAAAGAAATTAATTAATCAAAAACCTGACTACTTCCGCAACGTCACTAATGACACGTATTCAAAATGGCGGCCGCGGCTATGGTAAGTGGAAAAGCGAACTCTTTTTCTTCAAGCTACACGTCGTTTATACTGTCTTCTCAAATGAAATTGGGCACAGTGTTGTAAATGTGACGGAGTAGAATTCGGCCATGGTCGATAAATTACATTTCAACGTTAACGGGGTGCGGATTTATTGGAGTTCGCTGCTGTTTGAATGTTGGACATTCTGCTAACTGCTTGGTGGAGTTAGCTAGCTGTAATTACCTAGCTTGACTGTCAGTGAGCGGTGGCTCTTAAAACTGATTTGTATCATTTGTCTGGTATGTTAAACGGTGCTGACAGAGTATAAACGGCCACATACTCGGTTGTTAGACTGTCATTTGCTTTGCAGCCAAGAGAAATCAGCTAGCCGAACTTTGGCTTAACGTTAGCTGTTAGCAGCTCTGTTAGCAGCTCTGTCAGCCAGCGTCAGTTTGAGGTTGTTGTCGGTGTAGTTAAAACAGTACTGAAAACTGTCAAGATGACAGCAAGAGATCAGTTACAGAAGACAAAGACAACGTCCGCTAAGACCGTCTATGTTATTTAACTGTGCTGGTACTGGTCTGATAACATAAATGTCGTTTAGAAGAAGCCACGCTTGCTAACTTCCTTTCGCTGTCATATCGTAACTCACAATCCCCATAAAATGCATGTTCTTCCAATGGACTTGCTCGTAAACGTACTTTGATGCTTTTCAGTATTGAATCACACAATCATAATTCGGCTTTTTTACACTGAAAAATCAAAAAATGATTCTGTAGTGTCAAAATATTGTGTAGTAGTGTCATGAATCCTAATTGATTTTACTGATTTGAACTGACTGTTTTTATTTGGCTTTATTGTTTATAATGTCTCAGTGTGATCAAATGTGTCTGTAATGACTATGTTGTACTACTGTGTGTGCTATGCTATTGTATTGCTTTTAGTCTTGATTTCATGGTGTCTTATGAGTGGAGCACTGGACTTAGCAATTGTTCCTGTATGGGCTAATTAAACCTTGTATAGTAACGACAAACTAACTGGGGTAAAAACACTCCTTGCAACAACCACAGCCTTATGTCTATTTAGATCCGCTTTGCATATTAGGGCACTGCCGTTATCTCCCCATCATTCATCTTCGCACGACTGTTAAACCTCCATTAAGTTGCGTGAGTCCTGCCATAAATTTGGGCGACTGTGGCTCAGCAAGGGTTCCTCCACTCATTTTGTTACCAGACTCCTCCAGTCCACATGTCAAAGTATCATTGAGTAAATCTCAGAACCCCACATTTCTACCTCTGGCTAGGCCAGTGCATAACATGGTAGCTTGCTGCCATTGGCATGTCTGAAAGAGTCAATCAGAAGTAAATTCTAAAGCAATTTTTATCAAAGCGATATATAGATCCAGTTAACATTTAGATTGGATTTAAGTGTGGATTCACCCTCATTAACAGTCTTTTTGTTAAGCAATTTTTGGGTTGCTATGGCTTTGTGTTTAGGATCGATGTCTTGTTGAAAAGTAAATATTGTCCCTAGTATCAGTTTTTATGCTTCATACAGCCAGTTCAGAAGACATGGGGAGAACTCTGATCAGCAGTTTGATCCCCAGCTCCTTCATTCTGCATGTCAAAGTATCCTTGAGCAAGATACTGGACCCTGAGTTGCTCCCAATGGTTGTTCCATCGGTGCTTGAGTGCATTTATGCTGTGTAGCAGATAGCACCTTGTACCATAACCTTGGCCTAAAGTGTGTGAATGGGTGAATATAGTGTTAAAGCACTTTGAGCAATCAGAAGGCTAGAAAGGCATTATACAAGTGTAGGCCCATTTACCATTTCCTGCACACCTTTTGAGAAACGCCAGCTTAGATGTCATATGAGGTTTTTCTCTTTGGTTCTGTGCCATAAAGTTGCCACTGCTGAATCACCTACAGTAGGCAACAGATGTATGCACAGTGTCCCAGTCTCATCTCAGCTTTGGAATCCTGTATTTCCAACTGTGTCCTTAGGCCTTTATGGCCTGTATGACTGAGAATCTAAACAGATTTCTCCTCCCATCAGATTTACAGCTGTGCCATAGTTTTTCCATAAAAGAAATCTACCATACTCTGTTCTGGGCAATTTAAAGTGATTCTGAATATTCAGATCTTTTCCTGGGTTGTTACTTTTCAAGTCTGGGATTTGTTTGAAATCTTGCTTTGACTCGATGATGTAGTTACTTTTTTTTTTTTTTTTTAGCATTTTTGATATAAGATAGCTGATGTTTATTGACTTGGAGGGATCCCCCTCAATAACTGAACTTAAGGGTTGTAATGGTACCGTGAAACCGTATACCATGGTATGAAAATTGGCTATCCTTAAGTGGATAAGTGTACATTTGCTTATCTACTGTATTGAGGAAATAAAAGGAAACCAGATGGAGAATCTTACCTCACACATCTCCTCTCCTTCTACATTGCCTGTCAGACATTTTACACATACATTAATTTAAAAAAATGTTTTAAGTTTAATTTATAACAAAGTATTTGTTCAGCCAATTAAACCCTACTGTTTTCAGTCCTTTAAGAGTCCCTGTAATTGATAATAATAATTGTATAACATGTATGCTGTGAAACTGTGATAATTTCTGAGATGTAATCATACCATGGAAAACCTCACACTGTTACAACCCTAGTGTTAATATTGTGCTATATATTCATTCATTTTGCCAGGCAAAAAACATCCCATAAAACCCCTGATTATGAAACCCCTGAAGAATCGCTGAAATTTTATTTTTGGTTTAATGTAACGGGACAGCCAGTCATCCTTAACTGCCAGACTTAGTAATGCATTTTGATGTGATATTGTCTTCCACACAAAAAAGTTCATGTTTTGAATGTTTTTGTCTTGCATACACTCACAATAATTTCTGTCAAATCACATAATAAAGTGGTCGTTTCTGTGTGGTGAAATATTTGGTGGTGTCTGTTGCAGGAGACGTGGTGGGCCTTGCTGCTTTTGTCCTCGTTGCCTGTTGTTCGGCCTTTCTATGTACCCGGAGTCGCTCCCCGGGACTTCCATGAGGGTGACGTAGTAGATCTTAAGGTAAGACTAGATTTCATTTGAACGTTTTACGAATTAGCCAAAACAATGTGACATGGCTTTGTTAACTTCCTCCTTCCACTCCCGTGCTTACCTGCAAAGTGTGTTACCATGACTACCAAATGATTTTGTGTTATTAATCGGGCTTAGTTTACATCTAAGTTCGATTGATAGCTGTCACACCTAAACAAACCAAACTAATTGTCTAAGTGCACCGAAGTTCGTGTGGCCCATAGATTGTATAAAGATAATGCATGTAGCCACGGTGCTGTCACCCATTGGTTTGTGGGCTTGCATTTTTAAGCCTTGAGTTTTGCATTTTGGCCACCACCATCCTGTTTTTTTTGTTTTGTTTTGTTGTTGTTGTTTTGGTTGTTTTTTTTTTTTTTTTTGGTTGTTTTTTTAGCTGGAAGTGACCATATTTAGACAAGGGGGAGGAGCTTTGGAGAAGCGAAGGGTGAATCTGACTCATGGACTGTAGTGACGCCTTGCACATAGCTTGTCACTCAAAGCAGCCACATTCCTAATTAGGTATAAGGTATAAGGAGGAGTTTTTGTACAAGGCTGTAAACTGTATTTTAAAGCCCAGTTCAGACCAAAGAATCACGACGAGACAAAACCGTTAAAGAACATTGCAGAGAAAACTTGCAGCAGTTTGAACTGGCTGGTCTCAGCTCGACTCAAGCCGGCTGATGGTGTCACCTGCAACTCAGCAGGTCAAATCACTGGCAGCTGGTTTTAGAGTGTAAAGCATGTCACCTGTTTCAACATCCAATCAGCTTGTAGTGAAGTCTGCTGGTCAAGTCAAAATGATGGCAGATGGCGTGTTCGCTTGCTGCTCACCGTATGTGCTTATGGCCCGCCCGCACACACATTCTCACTGACTGATTAATTGAGGCTGATTATTTATATTATTGTTGCGTATTAATTATGAATACAGTTAGGGCTGGGCGGTATGACCTAAAATTCATATCACGGTATAAATCAAATCCCTTCACGGTAACGGTATATATCGCGGTATAAATTTAAGTGTAAAAGTTATAATAGAAGTGTTTCTGAATGGGTTTTGTAGTCTCTTAGCAAAGCTAAATAGATTAAAAAAAAAACAACAACAACAAAAGCAAAGATATAATGTATTTTTTAGAGCATTTATTGTGCAGAATGCAGATCTCAAAACTCAAAATTAAAACCCAGTACTCTATGGTGCAAAATGTCCCCTGGGATCTATATCAAAGGTAATTTCCTTCTTTTAGCAAAATCCTAAATTACTGAGTTGTGTTTTTTCCACCTGGACCTTTATGCTCTGCCATTTCTCCTCTAATCATCAGGCTGTAACCTGTGACAGGCTGTTATGATACCACAACTATCACACATTCACATATGGAGTTTTTTGTGGAGCCCCTAGCGTCACATAGGTTTACATTACCAAAGATTTATGAGAAACTCTCTTTCCGAAAACCAACTCCCGTGTGCGCACGGCTAGAGAGGAGAGGGAGAGACGCTGTGCTGCTGCCAGAGGAGACGCTGAATGAGTTCACTCTGAGCAGTAAGTCGCTAAAAGAGTCTGAGAAGTCCGGGGCTGTTCATAAAACATTAACTCACTCACTCACAAGTTCTCCAGCAACACATGTTGCACGTGCTACGCTAAATCACGGACGTGAACCAGTTCCTCTTGCTCCGCTGTCTCTGTGCTCGCAGCCATTTTCACACTGAGGCAGGTGCGATGACGTCATCGACGATAGGATGGTAGAGCGCAAATCTCTACCGTGGGCCAAATTTATATCATTTCTACTGTCTACCGCATATACTGTGCAGCCCTAAATACAGTCCATCTGATGCTTGTTTGATTTTTTTTTTCTCTTTTTTTTTTTCACCGTTTCATCACTGCTACAAATGCAACTGTTGCCAGTATCTCACTATCACTATCCTTATTCATATTTTAAGAAGCTACAAATTATATTCAACCACAAAATAAGCTGGAAATTGTAACAGAGGTACAGAGAGTTGCTGCATAGAGATGATACACCATCTCATCTAGTTGCATAGGTCTGAACCAGCAGGTTTTTAGAACGTTACAGAACAGCGCATTGCAAGTAGTTGTCTTTTTCAACTCATCTCAGTGCAAATCTTTGGTCTGAATGGGGCTTAACATGGGGGTCTGGGGGGGGGGATTGACTTGCTATTGGAGCCAGCCTCAAGTGGCCATTAGAGGAACTGCAGGTTTTGGCCCATTTGCGTTGGCTCCATTATTCAGTCCTGGAGGCTGCCACTTGATTACTGGTAAGGTGAGACAGCACTCTAGAGACTTTCACCTTGCTATTACTTTTGAGTATTTGCCAAAAAATGGCTTTATACTGCTTCTAATTAATGCCAGCCATGGGTCAAGCCTTGGACTTAATACTTTGGGATGGATTGGTCACCCTTTTTTTTTCTTCACTTGTTTGCACAGTTTAAAAAATATATAAATTTGCATAAGGACGTTCACACATGAAGACAGTTAATTCCCATTCCAGGTGCCCAACAGTCAGCACTAAATGTGAAGTTACTTAGTTTGTTTAAGATGAGTAACAGGCCAAGACCATGTTGTTGTGCTTAAAGTTCTGCATATCACTATATCTGTGACCCATTCAGTCAGTCAGATCATTTGTTTTTCAGGCAGTAAAGCTGACCAGCTCCCGCACCCAGCTTCCTTATGAATACTACTCCCTGCCTTTCTGTAAGCCAGACTCTGTTGTCTACAAGGGAGAGAACCTGGGTAAGTGGACAGCTGCTGACATGTGCAATTGTGGTCTGGAAATTTCTTTTAAATGTCTTCCTTAAAGGTGTAGTTTGGCTTTATTGAAGTTGGGCTGTTTGAGTCACTTATCCATAGTCAGTGTATTACCTACAGTAGATGGCAGTCAAAATATGATAATCTAACTGCAAATGTTGGAGTAACTCCAGCCGCCTTCCCTCTTCCCTCTTCCCCGTGTGACACGGTTATGGGCGGTTTTCCAAGCCACTGTTGGCACAATATTGTGCGGGACGCCAAGGGTAGCGGTGCCGCTTTGTCAGGCGTTGGTGCCGCTTTGTCAGTCGTTGTTGCCCTCTCCATAGACAAACAATGGGACAGCCAGCGCAAAGCGGTTTTACAGCTGATCATGTGTAGAGGCCTTTAGGGACCGTTCGCCACGGTACCGCTGCTGGGCAGGGTGGAAATAACGGCCGGGGTCCACCGGCTGCAAACGTAAGCGTCATGTCAGCGTAGCGTTGCAGCGTATTCATATGGGCTCCACTGACTGCGTACGTAAGCGACACGTAGAGAAGCCGAGCTGAGAGGCTGCATGAAATGTTAAAGCATTTTCCACCTAAGTTATTACATATATTTGAGTTATCTACAAGTTTACTGTACTGTTTGTCATCTACTCGCTTTCAAATGTCCGCCATGGACATTTACACAATGTCACGGATAAACATGGGTAAATGCATGAAAAAAAAATCATCACATATCACCTCTGATAATGGTTTATTCATTTAAAAACACATTGTGCTCATTTAGCACACTATTTCATGTAGTTTTTATCTGCTGGAGGGTCGCGTAGGGGAGCGTAGCGCGACAAAAATAGAAGACCATCCTAAAATAGAGAGTTGTCATGCGGCAGACGGGGGTTGTCGTGCCGCTCCCGTTGCCGGTGGAGCCACTGTAATTGATTAACAGGGGGGCGAGCTGCTACGGGACTCGCGCTGCAGACGTGACGCGCTGCTGACGTGCCCGGTGGATCTCGGCCATAAAGCCCTTTTCGCACAGAGCGCACAAAGTGCAGACCTCCGCCGACGAACCCATTCATTGTGTATGTGCTACCGCCGCGCAAGAGCGCACTGCTCTGCCGCCGAGCTGAGCGGCGCGCGCCGCCAGCCTGCGCTGGAATTGAAATTTTTTTCATTTCACCGCAACGCACTGTGACGACACCTCGGAGCCACGCGTCCAATAGCAGAGAAGAGCCTGAAGTAGACCCGGAGCTGTAGCTCCTGAACGAGCCTGTACTCCCCCAAATCCTGTCCTCTGCGCCCTACCCCGCGGTGGGTGCCGCGAAAGCTCTGTGTGAAAGAGGCTTAAGTCCTACAGGGTCTCGGAGGACCTGGAGAATGTTTTAGGATAGTAATAACATTATATAAGATAATCATATTGCAAAGATAATATATATAAGATAATAACATTAAAGACACAATTAAAGTGCAATACTTTTTCAAAACTTGATGATTTTACCTTTCTGTACATTTTGTATACAAATTCATTAAATAATTTTGCTTGTAAATGTCTATTTGCATCACGTTTATTACGGAAAACACATTATTTGATCAATTTACATTCTGCCCCTAAAGTTCTTTGTGTGCTCCTTACTTTTTCAACTTAGGAGCACATGTGCTCCTTGGGAAAAAAGTTAGCGTCAAGCCCTGTATGTGAACTGCATATATTCTAATCCTCACTTGGAGGGGAAAAAAGCGTCAAGGAGCGTCATTCTTGTGGTTTCCGGCAACACTAAACCCCTACGCTTGCCTGAGAAGGACTAAATGCACAAACCTGCTTTTTTTTAAATATCCCATGGAGACAGACTCTCACTCCAGTCTGTTGTATTTTGTTCTGAAAATGTCAGCGTGCAGCGTCGTTCTGTGGACAGTTAACAAGGTACAGTTTTCCATCTGTGTAATCAGTAGTGAGGAAATACAGCGAATGCTGGACAGAGCAGTGAGTGACAACAAACCCGCCCACATTTAAGAGTACTGTTTGCGATGGAAACGTTAAACAGACCAAGGGTCTAGGTACCATGTCTGAAGGGTTATGTTTGGTTACGTTGGTTACATTTGGTTCCAAAGGTACAATACCGAAAGTGTTTGATGGAAACGGGGCTTAACTACCTCATACAACCCTTCTTCTGAAAATCCAAACTATCCCTTTAATTTGACTTCATCCTGTTCAGGAAAAGCAATGTTATCCTATATTTTGCTCTTATAGAGAGTTGTGTTTTTTGGTGTGTTTTATTTAAATTTTGTTGTTTTTCTAATTATTTTTGTAGGTGAGGTATTGCGAGGGGACCGTATTGTGAATACCCTCTACAATGTGGAGATGAACAGGGATAAGAAATGTGAGATGGTATGCAACAAGAAAAAGCTCAGCATAGATGAAAGCAAGCTGGTTGCTGAGCGAATCCAGGAGGAGTATTATGTTCACCTGTGAGCATCCCTTCTTCATTGTTGTTCCTTGGGAAATCTCCAAGAATGCTAATGTTGACCTATTTCCATGAAGAATACCTTGCATTACTTTATTTTTTTAATTAAGTAAAAACTTTGTTCAGTGTCTCCAGATTCTAAATGTCTATACTGATCATCTGCTTCATTTTAGTGCTTTGTAGCATAATGTAGTTGGACGATATTTTTTCTTTCTGGTTTTATAGTATTAAGATTTGTTTAAATGTCCAAAATACAACCCAAAACTAATCAGAAATCTTCTTGTTGGTTTCAGTATTGCAGATAATTTGCCAGTGGCCACCAGGTTAGAGTTTTACCCCAACAGAGAGGCAGGAGGGGAGGAGGAGCAGAAGAAGGATGTGGTGAAAGATATCCAGTTTGAACATGGCTACAGACTGGGCTTTGTCGACAACAACAAGGTAGATATTAAATCACGTCTGTCCCTATCCTGATACATTGTATGTATGTGCTAGGCATTTATATATGTGTGTGTGTGTGTGTGTGTGTGTGTGTGTACTGTATATAGACTAAAATGACAAATCTGCTTGTACATTTGAAGGACACTAATTTCTCTCTTGCCCCTTCTGTTCTCCTTCACAGTTTTATCTGCACAACCACCTGTCCTTCATCCTGTACTTCCACAGGGAGAAGCTGGAGCAAGGGGATGTTCACAACTACAGAGTGGTGCGATTTGAGGTCGTACCCCAAAGTGTAAAAGTCGATGGTAGGTGTCAACACATTCTTTTTGAATAGCCTAAGGATGTGTAATGTATCTAATCTACGGTGATTAAAAAGTATTCTATCAGAAGGATGAAACACAAGTGTGCAAAGCATCCAAAGTGGCCTCTAAAGTAAAAATTACTATCCCTTACGTCTTGTAATACTCACTCTGTATACATTTATTTTCAGATCTGAAGCCTGTGGAAAATGACAAAACTTGCACCTTGCCTGAGGCCAGTGGCTCTGCCCCACAGGAGATTGACCCTACCAAGGAGAATGAGGTCCTCTTCACCTACTCTGTCCACTGGGAGGTCAGTGACTGCTACATGGATTCTCAGTGACTTCAAACATCTCTTAAGGATTAGTTTGAAGTTGATTAGTGTTGATTAGTTTGTATCTTCTTGATTATGTTAGGGCTGGCCCCCTTTCATTGCCTGTCGACCCCTTGTACATAAAAAAATTCAGTATGCTCGAGTTCTACAAAGTCAAAATATTAGAAAATGTGTGACCGGCCAGATACTTACAGACTGTGGTGGGAAATTGTCTGGCTCATTAAGTGCAAAATTAATTGCAAAGCAACAAGGTCAGATGATAAAATTCAGATGTTCTTTTCAAGCTGTTTCAGTTTTCTCCTTCCTCCCCTGTGCAGGAGAGTGAGGTGAAGTGGGCGTCTCGATGGGACACGTACCTGACCATGAGCGATGTCCAAATTCACTGGTTCTCCATCGTTAACTCTGTGGTGGTTGTCTTCTTCCTGTCTGGTATGTCTAATTTTTGACCAATCCTGCCCAGCATAACTGTCACCTCTTAAATGTCTATATCCACACAATAAAGTACTATTAGTTGTTAGGCTCATGGCAGAAACTACATGGAATAAAGTTCAGTTCAGTTCATTTATTAGTCTCCTTAGAGAAATTTGTCTTGGAGCTAGGGGTCAGCATACACATACATACAATCAACACATAATTACCGAAATAAAAATAAACACATTACAACACATAGTCACCCAGTTAGCCTTGGTACATCAAATTAAATACATAATATATACGTCAGACACACTCCTCATTAATCAACTTGATTGACACTGGAATAAACGAGTTCTTGTACCTGTTATACCTGCAGCGTGGTACTCTGTACCTTCTACCCAAATGCAGTAACTCATATTCAGGATTCAGTACATGGTCATGATCAGATACGATTTTATGAGCTTGTCTTATCACTGATTGTTCAAAAATGGCTTGAGGGGTGATCAGGGGTGTGGACACACCCATTATCTTCTCTGCCATATTAATCAACAGTGTAGCTGGACCCCTAGCTCCGTGTCGCCGCAGAGCAGTGCCATCTTGGATGGAATGTCAAAAATTGCCTTATAAAGTTGAAATTGTAACACATATCATTTACCTTGTGCTTTGTTTACTCTTCTCTGGACTCTAGAAACATTTAAAGCATTTGAATGTGATGTAAATCTATTAAACTGATGTGTCATAGATACAGAATCTGTATTTTAAATTAATGCTTCGTCCCCCCAATTGACCATTTGTACTCACCCTGTGATACACTGAATTTGTGTAGAAAACATTGTTTTTTTCCACATACCTCTCCGTCAAACGAAGGATCCAAAAACAGAAGTTTTGATGAATTGAGGTCATAAAGGTCCTCTTTTAAAGGGATACTTTGCCGATTTTCAACCAGCTTTGTATCAAAACAGCGTGGGTAGTATGTGTAAATGAACTATGGTAAACCCCCTTCTAGGGCTGAAACGATTCCTTGAGTAACTCGAATAGGCCTAATTCAATTACTAAAAAGTAATTCAGTACAACAAAACGGCGCTCTGAGTTTTTCGTAAATGTTTAGTTTTAGTTTAGTTCCCCATCCGAAAGGTCTGTCTTTTTGGGAAGTACTGAGCACGTGACTGGATAAATGAGACTTGGATTACTCTGCACAAATTCTGTGAGTTTGTAAACTGATGTTTTGATATAGTTTTGCTGTTGTTAGATGTGGACACCTATGACTTAAATTCATGAAGAATTTTCTCTATTTTTGGATTCTTTGTTTACCTCAGAGGCATGTGAGAAAAACTTTTTTTTTTTTTTCATGAATTCAATGTAACATGGGGTGAGCAACTGATATTCAAATGGTCACCTGTGGGGTGAATTATTCCTTTAATGACAGCATGGAAAGTGTTAAGATATCTGTCCTTCACATTCCCTGCATTTTCTCTTTCAGGTATTCTGAGTATGATCATTATCAGGACCTTGAGGAAGGACATCGCTAACTACAACAGAGAGGATGACATAGTAAGAAAATACACACCTGACAAAAGACAGTTTGCCTGGTTCTAGCAAGTCTTTGGAGGAAGAAGACATATGTCTAAGAAACTGTGTAGATCAGAATGATTTGATTTTAGAGTAACTAATTCTAGTGTTACTGACATCATCTTCGGATTCTTGATGGTTGTTAAATCAGGAAATCCTAGGCACTTGACCACATTTTTATCCTATCTAACCAGGAGGACACCATGGAGGAGTCAGGATGGAAGAATGTCCATGGTGATGTCTTCAGGCCGCCTCAGTATCCCATGATCCTCAGCTCTCTGCTGGGTTCAGGGATTCAGCTCTTTTGCATGATCCTCATTGTCATCTGTGAGTTTGTTTTCGCTGTTATCAGTTCCTTGAAGATCTTGACAGTGTATATCTCTCCTTAGACCACAAGGTTCTTTTCCTGTCATTTGTTCACATGGCTAAAACATTATGTAAAATTGAGTCAAGAATGTTCCCATGGTGCTAGGGTTGGTTCTCATTCATGTTGTTACAAATATGAAGCAGCAATGAGCAATAAGTGTGTGCAAAGCCAGAATATACAGATACAAACTGAAATGTGTCTGCAGCACACAGACAACAGCTTGATGTGCTTTGTCTGATGGAGTGCAAAGGCCCTGATCTTAGCAAGCACACACATATATTTGCTTGCTATTGATACCAAAAAGAAGGTAATTGTTTAATTCAGGCGCTCCATGGTTTACATAAACCAGACTACCCCAGTTACCTCATGTTGTTTGAAATTAGTTTTTATGAGTTACTGTTCAGAAAAAATGTGTGATTGCCAAAATCACTTTGTTGGTGTTTATTTATAACTTCGATGATTTAGCTAAATACACTATTTCTTGGCCAGCACAGTGACTTTCTGGAGTCTTGTCTTCATAGTGAGGTTCCTGAACAACCAGAAGAGACTCCAAGAATTCACTGACCCGGACAGAAAACAGTTCCAGCAGTGTTTCTTCTCTACATGGGATCTTTTAAAAAAAGGCTTAGAGCAGAAAACTGGAAATATTTAGATTGCTGAAATTTATGTTACACAGTTGTGGATTGCCATTGTTATCTATAAGATGTTCTAATCACCACATGCCCCTGTGTGTTTGTCATAGTTGTTGCCATGCTGGGCATGCTGTCTCCATCCAGTAGAGGGGCCTTGATGACCACTGCTTGCTTCCTCTTCATGTTCATGGGGTAAGAGCCATAATCATCTGTCTGTCCTCATTTATAAAATAAATCCCATATAATTAAGAGATACCCTATTTTCAAATTTTCCTGTGGCTGTTTGTCCTCCAGTGTATTTGGTGGTTACTTTGCTGGCAGACTGTACCGTACACTGAAGGGCCATCGGTGGAGGAAAGGAGCATTTTGCGTAAGACAATAATAACCTGAATCATAAATGTTGTTTTTTTTGTTTGTTTGTTTGTTTTTTTAAACATTTTATTTACGCACACATAACAGTACAAAAAACAAACAATTTTTAGATACATACAAAAACAGAAACAAAAACAACAACAACAAAAAGAGAAGGTAAAACAAACAAACAAATAAACAATAACAAACACCATGGGAGGAGAGGGCAGAGCAACCTAGTTATAACTCATATTAATTTACATGACTGGCATCAGCCACACACATACCAGTTAATTTCTGTTCATATATAACGTATCATTTCGCTGTTGTGTTATAGAGCTATCAAGGAAGAGAAAAAAACAGTTATACCAACAATATGCAATCTGTATAGACAATAGCAAATTTCCACATGTGGAACTACAGGGGATGTGGTGTGTTCAAAAGTGACCTAATTGAGGTCCAAGGAACTTCAAATCCACTGTCCAGCTTTTGTAAGGTTGTAGACAATTCTCCAATAGTAACCAAGTCTAAATAGTCCTAAAGCCAGTTATCCAAACTAAAACAATTAGGTTTCCTCACTTTCCAGTGGATCAGTATTATTCTCTTCACTGTAAGATATGCTAGTCCAATCAAGCGTTGCATCATATGGGAATTTATTCCAGTTACCTTCCTTCCCAGTAAACACATAATGGGGCACATTGATATATTTACACATAAGATAGATTTTAAGAAGCTTATAACATCAGACCACAAACTTTTTACTGCTGGGCAGTGCAGGTTCTGCAAGCAAGGCTACCTGCCTTTTATGCGTAAATGATAAAGAAATGTTCTTGTTAATTGAATTGAGTGCTGTGAACAGAAAGGCTTAGGTTGTGTTTGTTTTGTCTCCCCTGTAGACAGCAACTTTGTATCCTGCCGTGGTTTTTGGAATCTGCTTCATCCTCAACTGTTTCATCTGGGGAGAGCACTCCTCTGGGGCAGTGAGTATCATGACTTAGAACAACAAAACATGGAGACAGCTCCGCTTCAACTTGTCAAAAAGAAAAGCCTTTTTTTTTCTGAGGCTAGGGTATTTTGTTAATTCTTTGCAATGGGAGCGCTGCGTATTAACACTTTGCTGCAAACGCCAGCAGCATGACGAGGCACTGAGCATCTAATCTGCATTGAGTGCTGCAAGTTCGGCAGAGGTTGGTTTTTGTTTTATTTTTCTGGTTGCCAAGAGTTGAAAAACGCTGCGCTTGTCTTTAGCCCTTTTTACACAGATGGCGCTATGAGGCTGCTTCAAAGTCCCTTCTTATGCTGCCTTTGCATTTTTACACAGAACCAGTCGACAGCAAGAGAGATGATGGGTGTGACATGTCACACCACAGCATCGGCCTTTACTGTGACACATATGTGATGGCAACACTTGATAAACCATAACAATAGCATAACATGGCACTAACAATAATTTACTGTCCCTGTTATATGGCATTGAACTCGTCCTCTGCTTGGAGGATAAGGAGTTCCTGGACCTCATTGTTTTCCCAGTTTGTGGACACTTTTGGCCTCTATTCTTCTTCAAGTTAGTTGCTGTTAAAGGGCCAGTGTGTAATATTTGGCATGGTTTATTGTCAAATCTGAATCTGAATCTGAATATTCTACCCATTAATATGTTTATATAAGTGTATAATCGCTATAAAATAAAATTTGTTTGGTTTTCGTAGCCTTATAATTATGCTTTTATATATATATATATAGCAAGGGCCTTGCTTTAGAGAAATTGCCATCTTGCGCCGCCATGTATGTAAGGCAGCCCTAGTGGACAATCCAGCCAGCCAGAGAGCGCGTTTCGCGTGTATAAATAAACCAACGCGGGAGGAAGGAAGAAGGAGGAGGAAACAGCAGAGAGTGTTAGTAGTTCGTCGATGGAGAGTAGTGAAAAGTTTTTTTAGTTATAAAGTTTGGGAATGGACCACACTTACCACACAACAGGAGAGAATGAACCTGAACCGTCATCTGCGAGGAAAAGAAGACGCAACTTCAGTCCTTGTGATGCACTCTCTGTGGTGCTTTTCCTCCTGATGATGTATCTCCCCAACGATGGTAGCACCGAATCCCATTCTGTGCAGCAAAATGGGAGCGGAGGATTCAGCCTCTCGTCTCGCCCGCTCAGCATCTAAGTTCCTCATCTGTGTGCTCCGGCTCAAACAGGTATGGCTCTGGGTCTGTGTCCGCTACAAGAAACTCTTCAAAATCGTGTTCACAGTCGTCCATTGCAGCTACTATAGTCCGGAGATATTGCTAGGCTAAATAAACAACTGAGCTCTGTTTACATGCTACGCTGTCAGTCAGTGTGCGGGCTGGAGATTGGTGGAGCAGGGAGGGGAGGGGGTACCCGCTTGGTATTGTAAACGAGAATGTGTGTATGGAGTGTGTGTGTTACGCCAGAAGAGTCAGAGTTTGGGATGGTGTGGAGTGTTACCGGAGTTTCTGGAGTGCTCAAATAAACGGGCCTTTTTCCCGAATGCTACTCTGGTCTTCTGCTTGTGAGGGATTCATTACAATATCGTAACATGGTTTAGATTTCTAAATAAATATTCACCTCGTCGCTAGAAAGACCTACTCCTGAAAAACTCGTGTCTGCGCAAGGCTTTTTGTCCCTACGAGGCCACCGTCATTTACCCGACGGGAGGGGTGAGCGAGTGAGCCCTGCAATCTAGAATTTGACCACTGATGTCACTGTTTTCAACGGTTTTCAACCCATTTTACACAGTGGCCCTTTAACAGCTACTTTTTAAATCTCCCACGTGAAGTCACACACATAACGTGTCATCAAAACCTCACACCAGTCTTGCCGGCTGTCTTACTTATACAGACAGTGTTTCAGTGCTGTTACTAATTGTAAAATTGTGGAATTTCACCAATATTGGTGTTGACAACTAGATTTCTGGTATCGTGACATGTTTTGTAGGTGTGCAGCTTCATGTATAATTTAGTATTATCAGTACATTCACATGGATTGGTCATCTCTAGATAATTCCTCCTCTATCCCTGGTCTTTTCTCTCATCACTTCAGGTTCCCTTCACTACAATGCTGGCCCTGCTATGTATGTGGTTTGGCATCTCCATGCCCTTGGTCTACCTGGGCTACTACTTTGGCTTCCGCAAACAGCCATATGATAACCCAGTGCGCACCAATCAGATCCCTCGGCAGGTCCCAGAGCAGCGCTGGTACATGAACAAGTTTGTCGGGTAAGTGTTTACCAATCAGACTTTCTGTTTTTAATCTATAGCCAGTTACTGGAATGGCTGATTTTTTATTGTGTTTTTATAAGTTGCATGCTTTCTTTTTTAATCAAAGCATTTTTATTTTTTTTTCCATCAGAATCCTGATGGCTGGGATCCTGCCATTTGGTGCAATGTTCATCGAGCTCTTCTTCATTTTCAGCGTGAGTACAACTGCTCTGCTCTAAATATATTGTCTTGTATGTCCAATTGTTTGTGTTTATGCATAAGCTGTAACTTAATACGGAAATTTCCTGAAAAAGTCAGTGACTCAGTCCTGGCACGCACAGTAATATCAAGATCAATAGCCCAAGAACTTTTCTTATTTACCCCTGTTTACCCCCATTTTGAAAAACCTTGGCGCGTTTCCACTGAAATTACCCGGGTAAAAAACTTTCCCTCAACCCCAAACTTTCCCTGAAAAAAGTACCTAGTAGGGGGGTAGGACTTCAGATTACCCGGAATTCTTGAGGGGTGGGGCTGTGTGCTGAAGAACGCCGCGTTCTGCGTTCTTCATGTCAGTGTGTCTGCTGCTGCAAACTTTATTTCATTTCTACAAGCCTCACTTTGTTTGTGTTTTGATTAAGGATGGGTACCGAAACCCGGTATTAAATTACCCCCAGGGCTAAATTGTCAAAGACCGTAGCATTGATTAGCGCTAACAGTATCGGTTCGCCTCTGCGCTCTGTGCCGGCGCTGATCTCCTCCTCATACACACACGCGCGCGCCGACGCGACACGGTAACCGGTGAACAGCCGAGCGGCTGCGGTCGAAACAAAGTGAAGATAACTCGAAAATGACTCGAGTTGACGGCAGCTACACTCGTTACTGTGAGTGGCATTAACCCTTAGTGAATAAGAAGCCAATACTTTATCAATACATGTGTTCAGCAAGCATGAACATGTAAACATGTAGACAGCAATATTCAATATGCTCCGTCCACACCCTCTCATCCACCGACACTAATGTTATGTCTTACACAAGGACAGCATGCTAGTTCAGCTGATAGTGAATTGTTACTAATAAGCTCAAATGACAGCTGTCTGTATGTAGACTAACTTAGTTTGACACTTATCTTAAAATACTTTTAAACTTAGCTGCTGACTGAGACCAGCAGCCCCAACTCTCGATACCAGCACTATGTAACCAGCCAAGCTGGAGGAGACAAATATAGGGCACACACTGAATCATCTAAGTCATCACGCTAATTTGAATAAGTTTTCCGGAACTTTGAGGTGCTGTGGAAATTCCAACCACACAAATTACCAGGAGTTCTTTTACCCAGGTAAATAAATTCCTGGTAATAAAAGTTCCTGGAAATGTTGTTGAAAAGGGGCTAATGTGTTTGTGTCACCACCTACAGGCCATCTGGGAAAATCAGTTCTATTACCTCTTTGGCTTCCTGTTTCTGGTCTTCATCATCTTGGTGGTCTCCTGCTCTCAGATCAGCATTGTAATGGTTTATTTCCAGCTCTGCGCAGAGGTAAGTTCATTTAGGCTAGGTGTGAATTCACATAAGTACTGTAGACTGTGATTTTTTCTTTTAATTGGATGGCAAGTGTTTGATTTAAAGAACTGCCATCATAATTTGGTGTGAATGCTCTGCAACTCTTCCCCAGAGGATGGGTGGTTGGACTGAGCATAGGAGGGATCCTGGTACCCACAGACATCATACACAAATTGTTGAAATCAACATGAATGAAAATATAAAAGAAGGAACGTTCACAAAGACAGTGACAGTGTTCATGGAGCCAGACTTTGATGTCAGTTCTATTGGAGTCAATGGGGTGGGCACAGCAAATCACACTATAACCCAACATCTATGTTGTTTCAACTTTGACTGAAAAACCTTTCCACCAGATTAAAAACCACACATTACATGATGTTGACTGACAATTTTTTCTCTAAATATGCATGATAGTTTTCCTTTGTATTGGTCTTTCAACAGATCATGGCTCTGTCCAGCAGAGGCTGAGATGCAGCTAATGGACACAGCCATGATCTTTTTCAGAGACCAATAAAAAGGAAAAACAAACATGCATATTTAGATAAAAAAAAATGTCAGTAAGCATCACGTAATGTGTGTTTTTCAATCTGGTGGAAGGATTTTTCAGTCAAAGTTGAACAGCAAAGATATGATTGGCTATAGTGTGATTTGCTGTGCCCGCCCCATCTACTCCAATAGAACTGACACCAAAGTCTGGCTCCTGCAACACTGTCACTGTCGTCCTGACCATTCCGTCTTTTATATTTTCCTTGCTTGCATTCCCCAATGTATTCTAGGACCAGTAATTCCAAAATTGAGGATATGCGTATCCTAAACAGAGGTTAAAAGAAAAACAATAAGTGTCACAAACTCCATTAAAATAATGGAAGTTCTTGTATTAATACTATGTGTTTAAAAAAATCCCATAAAAGCATGCAGTACATAAGTGCAGTACAACTTGCTTTGAAATTGATGGGTTGTGGATGCAACAGTGTGTGTTGCCCATATTATCCAAGAGTTAACATACCCACTGCTTCTGTCTGAACCTTATCTGCATCATCTGTTCACACACCCCTGTGCTGTGTTTTCTCTCTGTCACCTCACTTTCAGGACTACCGGTGGTGGTGGAGAACTTTCCTGGTTTCAGGAGGCTCAGCGTTCTACGTCCTCATTTACGCAATTTTCTACTTTGTCAACAAGGTAAAAGCCCCGAGGCTGATTCAGACATTTCAGATAATGATAACCTCTTTCATTTTACTGTAGCTGAAGAAATTAAGGTTTTTAATTTGATGTACTATAATCACTGGTAGCAGATATTGGAATGATGTCACATGTTGTCATTTATGAGTCTTGATAGTGCTCAAATGGGCATTTCAGACTGCATTCTCTTAGCCCTGGGTTAATTTAGCCCCTGTCAATCAGCCTGGGGCTGTATGATTCACACTGCACTTCTACTAGCCCTGGGTTAAATGTCTGTTCGAATATGTACCTTACATTACCATTCTGTAATTCTGTTGTTTACTTTTAGCCCCAGGTGAAGTCCATTTTCAAGGGATAACCCTGCAAACTGCTGCAGAGCAGAGCCAGCAAGCCCCAGGCTAAAGTCAGAGTTAACCACTTGGAATGTGTCAGGATTGTTCCAGTGTTAACGCTTTCTTAGCCCAAGGCTAACAGCTTTCTTAGCCTGGGGTTAAGAGCAGTGTGAAGAGCCTGACTTAATGACACAATTAGTACCATGTCATCAGGGTAATTTTGAATCAGGCCTAAGACTTCAAATCTTTGACAGAAAACCTGCATTATAAACTGGGTCAATCAGTTTAAATGATATGGGCATTTAATAGGCAGACACGGTGCTATCAAGTTGCTTTATGGGAAATGTGAAACTATTTTTAAAGCTTGAGCCATAGGTAGGGCTGAACGATTGCATTTGAACCAACATTGCAAATATAATAGAACGCAATTTACAAATTGCAAAAGCGAGGATGTAAAAAGAAACAGTAAAACTGTAAACACGTGGTCCTGTGAGATTCTCGTACACTCACACTGCCCTACGTGACATATGCAAATGAGAGTAGATAAAGAAAACAACTTGTAAAATGTCGTGCTCAAGCTTTGATGCTAGCAGTACTACTGTGTGAAAATGGCCAAGGCTGAGTTTAAGTGCAGTCCAGATGTTAACACATTACATAGAACAGATGGGAGTGCTCAATTTGAATGTCAGTAATTGTTGGATGTCAGTAATTGCTTAACTTATAGAGTTCCCGTCACTCAGCCTCCCATGACTTTTATAGCTTTTTCTTTCTTTTTTGGGGGCTATTTAAATTGGTAAAATCTTATCTCGATGTAGAGCCACTTGCAATGTATTATAGTGTATATCACAGTGAGTAGACTGTCTATAACAACAGAGACGAGCCATTTCCGTGTCAGTGAGAGTTTGTTGGGACCAGTAAACGGCTCAGTGTTGGACATCAGTTGTTGTTATTCTAGCTTGTGGTAACCAAGCAGATGCTGAACTGACCAGGAGGAAAGCGGCTCCAGACTCTGGAAACGGTCCTTCAGTACTGTATCTAACCTATGAAATGGCAGCATCAGAAAATGTGTTGCTTGTTGTTGTTCTCTGTCGTTGAACAGCTTACACTCCTGTTTTCATGTTAGAATTAGGGATGTGATTTTTCCAGATTAATCCGGAATTCCTAATTTTCCTGCCTGAAAATGTGACCCATGTGAATCACGCAGATCTGTGAAAACTTATGAGTTATGAGCTGCCCAAGTGAAATGGAGAGGACTTGAGGACATCTATGGCTTCAAGTGTGTGAGATTGTTTTTCCTCTCCAAGTATCCAAGTAAAGGCCTTTACATACTCCGCAAGAACAGAGAAATTTGTTCTCTCTCGCAGGGCTGCAAGAAAAGAATGATGTCATTTTATTCTTGCAGCCCTGGTCTGGGAGTTCTTGCAGCTTGTTCTCGACACATCATCTGGGCAGAACTTTTTTCTCTGTGGTGTCCAAGAACTACTGTGTGATTGGTCAGAAGTTTGAAGTGGGTGTGATTAATGCAGAACAGTGCGTGTGAGGTATGTGGCAGTGGGAGGGGCCTATGAGGACTTCCCAGGAGTTCTTCACTTGAGTTTCTCATGAAGTATGAAATGTCCTGGGCAGAAAGAACTTTGTTCTTGTTCTTGCCACCTCGAGAAAAAGAACACATTTCTCTGTTCTTGCGAAGTATGTACAGGGCTTAAGTGAAACCACATTGTCTGAAAGACACAAAACAATTAGTTTGGTAGTTTGATGAAGTCTGCAGTATATCGTATTCCATGACTGAAAAGGGCTCCATGTGGGAACTAAAAGTCAGAATATCTCAACTTGTGCTGATTTGATATTTACTGTTTTTCTTTTATCTTTTTTTTGCAATTCTGTCGTCATTATGGAAGAGAATACTAAATTGTGGGAGTCCCTCTTTAGTAGAATCAAAAGCAAACATTAAATAAGATTGAAAATGGACTGCATATTTAAAAAGTTTCCTCTTGTTTTCATTTTTCCCCAGCTGGACATTGTGGAGTTCATCCCCTCCCTCTTGTACTTCGGTTATACAGCCCTGATGGTCCTGTCGTTCTGGCTGCTAACAGGCACGATTGGCTTCTACGCAGCCTACATGTTCATCAGGAAAATCTATGCTGCAGTCAAGATCGACTGAGCCGTCACTGTCGCTGCTGTTCTCGTTTTTTGGTTTTTTGATTTTCTTTGTTGTTGTTTTTTGGTCGCATTCTGTTTTTTTAATGTATATATTTTTTATTCTTCATGTCCAACAAGCACTGACTTGTGTGTAGAGGGAATGAGAGGGGTGCTTTTTATGGCGCAACAGCCCCACCCACTGGCCTCATGGGGAAGAACAGCAAGGTGGCAGAGCTAAACCGGCTGTCTCTCTCCCTGTCTCTCTCCCTCTCGCTTCTACCCCCCCCCCTCTTTCCAGGACAGAGACTCCGAGGGAATTATTCTCTGATGGGACAGTTAATGTCTCCTGCTGTTTCACCTTGCACACAACAAAGTGGGCCAAAGCTTGTCAAATGATGGTTTCTGCACATTTTTGTTTTGTTTATTCATTTGTGTTATAAGTCTAACTTATCCGTTTTTTTTGTCGTCACAGGATTTGTCTTTGACCTTATTTCTTCCAATCATCTTCATGTCTCATCTGATTTCTTTACATTAATTCTGTCTGTACATCGTCTCTGTTTTCAAATGCCACTTTGGACGACAGGGAAGGATCGGGGAGTCTAACTGTGGTTATGGTGTTGTTGTGTTGAACTAATATAGATGGAAATTATGCTGGGAAGTTCTACATTGTAACACAAGAAAGGATAAATTAAATGTTCTGTTATTTTTACTCCAGTTTCCATGTCCTGGTGTGACCATGTTAACCACAACTGTAATCAAGATATTCGCTTCTCCTTCCAAAACAATGGGTCTCTTATAAATGTCAAAATATTGGTCCAGTCACTCTAAATGATGCAGAACAGCTCTGAATGGGACTATGAACCCGATGCCCTAAAGCAGCGGACTGTGGGGTGAAGCTACTGGAGTTGGAGAAAAAGGAAAGGCTACAGTCTACCCAAAAATGACAAGGACCAACCTTGTGTATTTGGAAGTCTACAACACAAATATGTGTTTGAAGCTTTTCCAGTAGAAACGTACAAAAAAAAAGTACAACTGTTTACGCTCATTAACCGTGCCGTCAGTGTAGCCTTAGCAGTGCTGGACGCCTGCTGAACTATGCAGTAATGGAAAGAAAGAAGTGCAAAATTGCTGTTTCTGATGGTTTTTTCAAAGGACCTTTTTTTTTTTGTTGAGAAATGATGCCTCATTTCTTTAAGTTTGAATCAAATGTATGATACATTTTTGTGTATAATATGAAAAAAACTCTGAAAGCCAGCAGGATCACCTCTGTGTGTTTCTACCTATAGTGGTAGATACTGTATCATTTTGACAGTGCTTGGGTCTCATGGGTTGCAGAGCATTGAAATGTAATCCAGTGTTCTTAATAGATCTGTATAGTAATAATGTATTCTTAAATTACAGCTCATGTTTTTTCCCTTTTTTTCAAAGGATGTTTTTGGGGGTTTCAAAAATGTGGTTATATTTTTTCTGTTTCATTAGCAGAAAACTTTAAAATTGCATTTAGAGCTTTGGTGGAACCTTATTACAAATTTAGTTTGGCAAGCAATTCAAGCTAAGGGCTTCCCAAAGACAACCAGTGTATGTTGCTGTAGCTAAATTACACAATATATATTAATTACATTACATCATAATCATGAGATTAAAGGAACAGCTTGACATTTTGTGAAATACACGTAAGACTGAGTGTATATCCCAAAATGACAAAGTATACCTTGGGAGATAACATAGGCGGATCGTCATTGTTCAAACTTTACTATATATCTCAAGCACAGAACAGATATTGCTCTCTGCTGCCCTAACACGAGTCCATAAGAACACTGGTATGTAATTACAGTATAGTCAGTGGTCGATGTTAGCAGCCAGATTTTGGTCTAAAGAGAATATTCTAAAGACAAGCAGAGAAGATACATTTACATCAGGCCTCACAGGCTCCTGAACAAATAACGCCTCGTTTCAACATAGTTTTGTTTAGGAGTCCATTCATTCTGAAGAGAATCTCCATGATCTCTGATGTGTTTGAGAAACTCGTCCTTCCAATTTTTTTGTCCTGAATTTGTCTCTAGTGCGTTGAAAAAAATTGAACTATTGCGGCAGATTTCAGTCAGAATGTATGTAGTGCATAGATTCAGCATACCAGACCCCATGGTGGTGCCTATTCATTTCAGTCACATACACCAAAAAAATTCTAGCCACTGGGTTTGCTTCCGCAGTATGCCATCCACTAAATATGTGCGGTAGTGCCCGCAAGTTTCAGCTCGGCCCATGGACTTTAGATTGTGATGGTGTTACAGCTTTTTAAATTGCCTTTTCTAGCATGAGGAAAGTTTTACAAATATTCAACCTCCATGACTCAAAAACCAAGAACAGAAAGATTTTTAATTGAACTTGTTTGCAGTTTGAGGTGTCCTGTGTTGCACTATGGGGAAAATGCCTTTCGGACTGCAGGGGTATTTTTCACTGCAATATCATGAGTGGCCACTGGGAAAAATTGGCTGCAAGGCTGGTAGGCTTGTCCTGTGCCACATGAAGTTAGCATACAGTTGAAAAAACTAACAGATTGAGTGTAGTACGGCTGTATTTATACATTTTTTGTAACTGAAAAGTTTGACAGCATGTTAAGCTAGCTTTAGCTTAAGTAGCATGCTAGCTGTGTAACATATAGCAGGGGTCTTCAGTGTTTTTGGAGGCCAAGGAAACTTTAGTTTAAAGAGAGATTGAACAGAGACTCCCAACTACATATTATGTATAAAATTGAGCTGTACTGAGATAACTAAATATTTTCTGGGTCTTCTCTCGTGCTTGCCTGCAGCTCTTAAGTCAGCATAAGTTGTAGCATGGCTAGGTGCATTAGCCTCACCCTCTGGCAGTTGGTGTGTCAGAGACTCCTGCTCAGAAAGTTACAAAACGTTAATGGTGGCTCACAGGAATGTCCGTATATCTGGAATAATAATAATACAGCAAGTGGCCGATATGTTTTAAGATACATAGGCCTAAAGCTAACTAGTGTTGGCTAACTAGTTTACTTTGCCATTATGGATAACTGCTGCACATTGATTAAGCATTAGCTAGCTAACATGATTGCACAAGGATTCATGAATAACAGTCCGCTTATCAATAATATTGCATACTGTAAATTAAATGTTTGTTTGTTTGTTTGTTTGTTATGAATAGACTGATTTATCATTGCTACGTTTTTTAGCAAACTATTTGACAAAACTGTCTACACACCTGACGGACTAACCTCCTCACTTATTTGTCGCCATGCAATTCTGGTCCCGTTTGTGTCTGTATGGCTCCAAATGCATATTCCACAAGATTGGACGGCAAAAAAACACTCACAGTTCTGCCATTTCTGCAATGGGGTTTCAATGGGGTTTTTATTTATCCATAAAGAAATGCATTTCTTTTCATTGAACACTAAGGCCTACTCCTTAGGCTTTACAGGAATATAGACACAAAACAAAACTGTGTGGAAACGAGATGTAAATCTTCAAAGATTAAAGGAAACTAAACTCATACAGCATGCAGGGTGAATATTTATTGTAGTCTACCACAGTCTTAATATTTGCCATCAAACTGGTTTTAGTGAAGAATTGAAGTAGGTGTTGAGATCAACCCTGATTCTCCAATGGCAAAACATTTGAATGAACAAGTGATTCATCCTCCTGTGCCCTCTTCCTCCTTCATTATAATCAAGCCAACCCAACACTGTTAAGCTATGAATGAGCTGCTTGGAGAGAGCAAGATGAGCCAATATTAAGTTACCCCTGCCACCTGCTACAGGACGTGCTCAGCAAAGCCCCAGAGGTTTCCTCAGTTCAAACAAGTGAACACATGTATTGACCATTACTCTTTCATTTTTTCCCCCGCTCCATCAGACACCATCTCTTATTTACTGCACCACCCTCTGCCCTCTGTATTATGTCACGGAGTAACTGAGCTCTGACACTTGGCTGCCATCTTACGTAAAGGCAGACAGACACTCTCCTGCTGTTTAAGTGCACATGCTGGGGGAGATTTTTTACACAGACTTTTAAAAGGCCCGGGTCATGCGTGCGTATGTATGATCGAGGGGTTTACAATGTAAATAAAAGAAAACGGCTTTGTATTTGTTGCGTTTCGCTGTTTGTGGCGCTCTCTGTAATGATCCTGTCATCGTTTTAGCCAAAAGCATGACGCTCATGATGACTCAAAGGAACTTGTTTCTGTTACTTTTCTCTTTGTTTCTTTTACAGAATGTCCAATTACAAAATGTACAATGACAAAGACAATAAAGTGATGACAAGTTGAATATGAAAATCAGCTTCCAATATGTCCTTGACATGTTTTTACACATGTAGTTCAGTTTTGGGCTTAACACAACAGTGTTCGCTCACTGTCTGAAGCACCTTTAGACTTGTTGCATCACAAATGGGAAACTTTAGGCTTAAAAGGCATGGGCATTAAATAGGCAAGATAAAAGGACAGTTCACCCCCAAATCAAAAATACACATTTTTCCTTATACTTGTAGTGCTATTTATCAATATAGGTTGTTTTGATGTGAGTTGCAGAGTGCTGGAGATATCAGCTGTAGAGATGATCATCACAGTATCACAGAGCAACAAGAAGTGTGCATCTACTCATGGACAAGAGGCCTGTGCTTGTGATAGAGCAAGATGTACACATGAATGGCTTCCTCATCAGCTGAGCTGTTGGTTAGCTTAGAAGTGCTAGGTGAACTAGCAGTAGATTCATGCTTCCTTCAGTGTAAAGAGTAAAGAGCTTAGGTAGGTGGTCCAGTGTGGAGTTGAATGATGAGGAACAGGTGTTGAAATTTAGAAAAGATATGGCTGAAGGATTGGATAGAATAGATAAATCAGAACTTCCAGGAAAGTTGAAGTTGTGGTGTTTGCAGTTTGGGCTATATCCTAGATTAATGGGGCCATTGTCAGTTTATGAAATTCCAATATCCATCGTGGAGAGAATTGAAAGGTCGGTTAGCTCTTATATTAGGAAGTGGTTGGGGGCTCCTAGATGCCTTAGTAGTGTTGCATTGTATGGAAAAGGGATACTTCAGCAGCCAGTATCTAGTTTAACAGAGGAATTAAAATGTACCAAGGTCAGGACAGAGCTCTTGTTATCTGGGAGTAAGGACGTGGTAGTTAGGAGTGTGGTTCCAAATCCAACCAAGGGGAGGAAGTGGAACCCAAGATCGGCAGTTTCAGGAGGCAGAGGCAGCTCTTAGGCATGCAGAGATTGTAGGTAATGTTCAGTTTGGCCGGCGAGGCCTGGGGCTTGGCTCAGGCAAACCGGTATGGAATAAAGCAGGTCTCAAGATAAAAGAACGCTGGTTGTGGAACAGATACGTAGACAGGAGGAGATATTAAGGGGTGCAAAGGTAGTGGCCCAGGCTAAGCAGGGACAGTGGTTGAATTGGGAAATTGTAGAGAAGAGGAAGCTTAGTTGGAGGGACCTGTGGAGTATGGAGGAGAATCGTATCAGATTTCTGGTAGGGGCTAAATATGATGTTTAACCAAACCCCCAGAACCTAAAACTGTGGGTAAATGGGGACCCATCATGCCCATTGTGTTCAGGTACCGCAACCTTAAAGCACATTTTGTCAGGCTGTAAAGTTAGCTTGTCACAAAGCCGATATACATGGCGACATAACCAGGTGTTTTCCAGGTGAATTCAGAAGGTTTTAAGAATAGGAGTTTAGCAATTCAGTTTGTGCGTGAGGGGGAGAAATACAGAAGGGATAAGTTAGTGAGGAGGCAAGGGTGTGGCCGCCTAGAAGGTGCTTGTGATTGGGAAATGCAAGTAGATTTAGAGGGAAAGCTTGTTGTTCCCCAGGAAATAGTTTGTACCAATCAGAGGCCTGACATAGTGTTGTGGTCAGTGAGTCAACGGATAGTTTATTTCATTGAGCTGACAGTTCCTTGGGAAGACTCAGTGGAAGAAGCCTATGAAAGAAAAAAGCTTAGATATGCAGACTTAGGAGCAGAAGCTGAGCAGCGAGGATGGAAGACTAGGATTTGTCCAGTGGAAGTGGGGTGTAGGGGATTCATAGCAAGATCAGCTGTCTCGCTCCTGGGGGAACTCAGAGTGCGGGGACAGAGTTTGAGGAAGACAGTGAAGGAAATGTCA